ATCTCATTGTTGAAGGCCTTACAGTGACCTATAGTAGCTTACATCCACAGCATTTCGTCTCTGGTGGATAGATCTCATTGTTGAAGGCCTTACAGTGACCTATAGTAGCTTACATCCACAGCATTTCGTCTCTGGTGGATAGATCTCATTGTTGAAGGTGTTACAGTGACCTATAGTAGCTTTCATCCATAGTATTTGGTCTCTGGTGGATAGATCTCATTGTTGAAGGCCTTACAGTGACCTATAGTAGCTTACATCCACAGTATTTGGTCTCTGGTGGATAGATCTCATTGTTGAAGGCCTTACAGTGACCTTTAGTAGCTTACATCCACAGTATTTGGTCTCTAGTGGATAGATCTCATTGGCACCACTTTGTACCACATTTTCTTATTTCTGTATTAAATGCCCTAAAGTTTCAAAACTCTTCAAGAGAAATAAATAACACTATAGTACTTACAAAACAATAATATTTATTCACATAAGATAACATCTGTACACAAGCATTTGTTCACAGCTTCTAACGTCTATAACTTAATGTAAATAGGTGTAACTTTAGCACTTCCTAAACATAAAGCACTACAAAAAAAAAAGATTGAAAGTCATGTGGAGATCTTTTCAAAGATTCTGCTTTTAAATGCAAGTAATTGGTGGATCTTATATTTGTTTCTATTTCATTTATTTACAACTTTTATAGACATGTGACAATGTTGACCTTAACATATTTTACAGACTACCATTGAGAACTGTATGTTGCCCTCTAAATGTCTTTTGTATTTTCTTGTCCATCAATTCTATAGAAATTTGCATTAATGAACCATTCTAATGTGAAAATATATATCACCACATGACTTTTTAACATACATGATAAAAATAGATTCTACAACTGCATCTAGTGTGATATGATATTTATCCATTCGAGGCAGTAAAATTTTCAAATTTAACACGCAAGGCTCACAGAGCCTTTTAAATATTTAAAATTTAACTGTCGAGAGTGGATAAATATCTTATTGAACGAGATTTGGTGGTGGAATCTGTTTCTCTTATGACTTTTAAACGATATACAGACAATCTTAATTCTTCTTTTCAAATGATCTGCAAAAAGATGTGTTCTTTCTATGTGATGTCATCAGACATGGTCGCCTTTTTTCATGACACAATAGGAAATTCAGAGGAAAACAAGAAAATTTGACGTTATAATCAAATTTTGATCAATGAAGAACTTAGATCAAACGAACCACACGTTGATTAAATAAAAATAATCAACAGGTCAGGAAAAGAATAAATCGAGTAAGAATTAGAGAAAATTTCCTATACAACCCTACTTTCTACATTTATTTTTTGATGGACATAAGAAATTGATTTCTAAATGACAACTTCAGTGATAAATTGAGATAAACATTTTAATAAAAATTTACGATTTCATAAAACCATATATATATGAATATTTTTTTAAGAAGTTTTGGAACTCAAACTTCACAGTTTTCACTCCAAATTCACAACTTGTACTATTTAGGATCATTTATAAAGGTTACTTTGATTACAAGATAATCAGCACTTATATGTACAAATATTACCTACTTCTTGCAAAAACTTTAGTTTGTTTGTTACTGTTACAATTATCTAGTTCTGAAGGGAAGTAAACAAGCAACCAATCATTTCTATTGTCTTAAAATAGTGCAAATGCAAACTACAGATTAAGATAAACCATTAACCAGTTAAGCTGATAATTTTTGCTTCTTTAAGTTTCTATCTATCTATTATAATTTTTAAGATATAAGGCAAAAACGCAAAAATTGGTAAAAATTGTCATCAAAGGGCAATAACTCTTAATAAGGAGTCGACTGACGATTTCGACCATGCAGAATTATTTGTGGAACTTGTCTTGATGATCATTTTTGCAATTAAAAGTTTCTCTCTATCTATAATAGTTTTCAAGATAATAGGCAAAAATAAAAAAATAGAGGTAAAATTTGTCATTTAAGGGAAATTACTCCTATTAGAAGTCGTCTGGCAGTTTTGACGTATATGGACAATTTGTAGAGCTCAACATTCTGAAAATTTTTGCTCCATTCAGATTTTCTCTATTTATAACGGTTTTCAAAATAAGGGATCATAGATTTATTCTTATGAGGAAGCTCCGAGCATGCTCGGAGGATGCTCAGAGCTTTTTCAGTAGGCTCTTCTCTGCAGTTTATGTGAAAATAATTATCATGATCCATTAAAATGTCAATCAAATCTACACCACTTCTATAATAAGGAAAGTAGAGCATTATAGAGGAAGCTCAATTAACACCTGTGTAAACATCTAATCTATTCAAATACATTTTGCATGACATTTTACAAAACTATAGAATAGATTAGAAATTCTTCAACAGTACTGTGTAATGCTTGGAAAGAAATCTCATGTCTCCACAAAAAGTGAAAGTCTTTAACAAAAAATATACAATTATTATATTTTTAAAATAATCATTTCTTTTTTTATAATAAAAAAAATTCTCAAATTTTATAATTAGATGATATGATTTAAATATAGTTTATATTATATAATATGCTACATAAAAGTTATCAAGACACAAACAACAGTCAGGGGGCGATACTAAACAAGTTATTTTTTTTAGTTACTTATATTAATAGGTATTTTTTGTTTTTTTAAATTATTTGATATAATCTCAATTGTTATTTTAAATGTCAAAAGTGGACTAAATGTAGTTTTTAAGAATTTTTATATCATTTCATTAAGTAAAATTAAATATTTATCCAACTTGAGATGAGTATAGAGAGATTACTTAAAAAATAATGACAAAAATATTACTTTTATAAATTATTTTATACATCTTCGAAAAACTAAGCGAAAAACTAAGCACAATTATTTAAGGAACATATGTAATTGTTTTTGATAAATATTTCAAATTATAAATAACTTCAAGTCTTAATTAAATCACAAGGTTCCATCCATTAATATTTGTTCATCTCTAAGATTTTGAAGGAAAATGTTATTTTAATAGCCCCAAGAGACCAATCTATGACCAAGAAGTGTGGCATCAGAAAGGCAATTAGTGTTTCAGGAGGATTTAAATAGTTTTATACTGCATGGGGAAAATAACCAGATGTGAAAATTTGTTAAAGCTTGTAAAACCTGTATGAATGGACACCTATAGAAATAATATTAACAGAAGTTACTTATTCATGATATATAAGTAATATTTGAAACAACCTTGTTTTCAATATAACTTGTATAGGTTATTTTGAAAATTACTAGTTTAAGTAATGCCCTTAACTAAACAATGGTATTTTTTTTTATAAAATAGCAAAGTTAGTTTTTTATATAAAATATTTTTGCAATTTTAGGGGACATGGCTACTAAAGCTTGTAAACAGAGAAAAAAAAAGGGGGATAGAATTTGGTTGGTTAATTCTGGTGATGTCTTCTTTCTAATATGCACTGAAAAATTATGTTGTTTTATTACTATAGTACAGGACAAGAAAAAACTTTACTCATTTCAAGTATTTCTTTATTTAAAACATAGATAAATTCTGCACATATTTTTGGAAAAATACCAATTAAACAAAGACTGATAGGGGGAAACAATTTTATATTACGGTAGATTTTCATTCAAGTACAGGTCAGGATAAAACTTCACTTCTTTATTTAAAATAAAACCAAATCTGCACAATTATAAAAAAAATGACAATTAAAGTGAGACGTACTAGAGGGAAAACAATGGTGGTATTACCTCCTCAACCTTTCTTAGAGTAGCCATAATTTTTTTATAAAAAACTAACTTTGCTATTTTATAAAAAAAAAAAAATTATCATTATTTTAATAGTTAGGGGCATTACTTAAACAAGTAATTTTCAAAATTACTTATACAAGTTATATTGAAAACAAGGTTGTTTCAAATATTACTTATATATCATGAATAAGTAACTTCTGTTAATATTATTTCTATAGGTGTCCATTCATACAGGTTTTACAAGCTTTAACAAATTTTCACATCTGGTTATTTTCCCCATGCAGTATAAAACTATTTAAATCCTCCTGAAACACTAACTGCCTTTCTGATGCCACACTTCTTGGTCATAGATTGGTCTCTTGGGGCTATTTAAATAACATTTTCCTTCAAAATCTTATAGTTGAACAAATATAAGTGGATGGAACTTTGTGATTTAATTAAGACTTGAAGTTATTTATAATTTGAAATCTTTATCAAAAACAATTACATATGTTCCTTAAATACATGTAATTGTAAGTATGCTTAGTTTTTCGAAGATGTATAAAATAATTTATAAAAGTAATATTTTTGTCATTATTTTTAAAGTAATCTCTCTATACTCATCTCAAGTTGGATAAATACTTAATTTTACTTAATGAAATGATGAAAAAATTCTTAAAAACTACATTTAGTCCACTTTTGACATTTAAAATAACTATTGAGTTTATATCAAATAATTTAAAAAAACAAAAAATACCTATTAATATAAGTAACTAAAAAAAATAACTTGTTTAGTATCGCCCCCTGACTGTTGTTTGTGTCTTGATAACTTTTATGTAGCATATTATATAATATAAACTATATTTAAATCATATCATCTAATTATAAGATTTGAGAATTTTTTTTATTATAAAAAAAGAGATATGATTAATAAATATAATAATTGTATATTTTTTGTTAAATGACTTTCACTTTTTTGTGGAGATGAGATTTCTATCCAAGCATTACACAGTACTGTTGAAGAATTTTTTATCTTTTCTATAATTTGTAAAATGTCATGCAAAATGTATTTGAATAGATCAGTTGTTTACACAGGTGTTAATTGAGCTTCCTCTATAATGCTCAACTTTCCTTATTATAGAAGTGGTGTAGATTTGATTGACATCTTAATGGATCATGATAATTATTTTCACATAAACTGCAGAGAAGAGCCTACTGAAAAAGCTCCGAGCATCCTCCGAGCATGCTCGGAGCTTCCTCGTAAGAATAAATCTATGATCCCTAATAGACAAACTTGCATTTTTCCCCTATGTTCTATTTTTAGCCATGTAGGCCATCTTGGTTGGCAGGTGAGGTCATCAGACACATTTTTTAAACTAGATACCCCAATGATGATTGTTGCCAAGTTTGGTTAAATTTGACCCCATAGTTTCAGAGAAGAAGATTATTGTAAAAGTTAACAACGACGGGCGACTGACGATGGATGCAAGTGATGAGAAAAGAACACTTGGCCTTTTCAGCCAGGTGAGCTAAAAACACAGAACTCTTCGTGTAAAATGAATGTTCCAAATCTGTAAAGCCACCTACAATTTTTTTTCTTTTTTTTTTTTTTTGATAAAAAATGAGTGTTCCAGGACACAATGTAATCACATATTCAAAACAGAAAAAAAATTAAAGGTTATTTAACTAAGCACTTTAAACTATTTGTCTACCAATAAAACTAGCACTACCACAGGTGAATATCTACAAAGCAATGATTTATAAAAATTGTAATTATAGTCTGTCATTTAAAAATTTATTGACAAAATATTCTATAACGCATCTTTAAAGTACCATCATCTCAAAGAACAAAACACAAATGATGCCTGTTAGAGGGTTTGTTAAATAATTTACAACCATAACAACCTCAAACACCAAATGCACATCCCGTAAATACATTTAAGTTCTAATGACATGATCAGTAAGCATTATCAATAGGTAGCATTGTAAAGTGGTCAGGGCCTACCTTTCATTTATCTTAATTGTGGCCTTTATTTAACAAACAAAAAAAAAAGTGAAGAAAATAAATGATTTTTTCTTAAAATATGATAAATGTACAAATGATTTTAAGTTTCACAAGCCATATTATTTAACATTAACAATATTTCTTACAAATACAACATGTATACACATATCAACATTTTATTTATAAATTATTCCATTTTAACAAATGTCACCAAATAAAATATCAAATTCTATAAATGATGTCAATCATGCTCTCAATTTATCACAAAGCTGTCTATTTAACATTTAGACAAATTACAGTTTCACAATGACATATGTTTAAATGGTGGGTCTTTAATTTTTAAACGAATTAAAAAAAATCTGATAAATTTCAATGAAATGAAAAACTCACATGGATAGCTTTGCCTTATTCTATTTCATTTTTACAAAAACAACAATAAATTAATATTTGTTCCCAATTTGTACTATGTACATCGATATTTCAACTTATTCAAATGAAAAATATTTATAAATCAACAACAAAAAACTGAATACAATACAGTGTCAGTGTTGATAATTGATTCAATGCTATAAAACAGATTTTCTTATTGTTTTTCTAACATTAAGATAAATACTCATCTTAAAGACTGGACTCAAACAGAAATAGTGTTCTAAAATTTTGCTTTAATAGATGTGCTCATAATATGATCATAATTTGATGTCAAGTATGAGTTGACGCTATATACATACACTCTGACACCATAAAATCTCTCAATCTCATTTAATTCAAACTCTGCGTGGAGTAATCATAACATGCTCTGTACAGGATAAACATCAGTTACAAGACAAGATCAATGATAAATAACTTTACAAAGTAATTAATTCATGCATTATTAACCTTCATTTTCTTTTAATTGTCACATGTCAGAACAGTATAAACATTTATAAAATTTGATATTTACACGGACAGTACATGCAAGGTGTTTCAGTTAAAAATCATACTGACCATTGGGAAACTAATCACTGATAAACAGGATGATTGTTACTGACAGAAGTTGACAGTATCCTGATTTATGACTCTTAAATAACACTATTAATTAAGAGACATTTCAGAAGGATTCAATCATTTGCCACAATCACCAGAGTTCATAGTTAAAATTCCCTGCCTAAAAAAGCTATTTTTTCAACTTATATGTACAGCAATTAAACACCAGTAATTCACTGGTAAAACATTTGGTCCTATATTTATTTCATCCTCCTTTTAGAACTAATTATATTTTAAACCTCATTCAAACATTTTTACATGGCTACATATATCTAATCTACATTCATACTTCCTCTTTTGTTCTTATATCATGTATATACAAATATGCCTAATATAAACTGTCATCATACACTGCTATCAGCCAGAGCTTGTCTTAACAATGAGGCTACATCCTTGGAACTGCCAGACTCAGATCCTGTAAGAAGAAAGTACATAGTATCAAATAGAGCTACATCTTTGGTAGTATCAGGATCAGATTAGAATTAGAAAATTAGAAACTGACCTGATCACAAACTTTAAAACATGTAAACTATGCAATAATTTCAATCAATAGACCATGACTAAGCTGGTAGGGCCAAATAATCTCCATAGAAATGAGATGTACCAAAGCAAATACAACTTCATATCAAATATCATTGACCTACCACTAGTGGTTCACCTTAAACTGACGATCACAAACAAAACACTGTTGACACTGCTGACGCCGTCTGAAACAGCACGCCTCTGTCTCACTTTTTGGACTTTGTCTTGGCAAGAAAAAGTCTATATGAAATTTGCTTAATACTGGGTTTGTTTTACTGTCAAAATTTATTATAGGCACAGAAGCCATTTTGATCCTCGAACTAGAGCTAACCTTACCAAACAATATTACTAACAAGAAAACAGGTTCTATAACAGTTAACACATTGGTTTATCTATGTTGTGTTTTATGTACTATTGTTTGTCTCTTGGTCTTTTTCTTTTTAGCCATGATGGCGTTGTCAGTTTATTTTTGACTTATGAGTTAAAATGTCCATTTGGTATTTTTCGCCTCTCTTTTATCAGGATATACTACAAAGCATGCTTTAGTAGTTAACTAGAAAAATAATTTATAAATACAATGATACAAACCTTCATCAGTAGTTATATCTTTTTCTAGTTTTAATTTTTCCTGCGCACATCTCAACATGGCTTCCTCTACCGTGTCTTTACTGATCAACCGAATGATGCTCACTTCTCTGTAAAAAAACGGCCAAGTTATTTATTACCTCAGTTAATGTGGAGTCATCTATTTTCATGGATATCAATTTCATAATTTTGCCAAAATCTGCAGAAAAACCTATTTGAAATTTGTACTTCGTTGAACATTTAAATTTGTGGTTTGCCCTACTTATTTTCACCAAATCTACGAAAAAAATTGGTAAACCCTGAATAGAAATGAATCTACATTATATGCCAATTATATCATCAATGCTATTGATGATTATTATAACCAGTAGAATTTAAATTTGATTTAATTGTTAATTTGATTTTATCCATATTGTTAAAGTAAAATGCAGATAAATGAAATAAGAACATAACAAAAATTCTGTTAGATTGTCAGGTCTATCCATAAAACTGATTTTATATAAATATTACATGTATATTATTAAGATTGTCCATATGTTTACTTTTTGAATATATGATACTTGAAACCAATTCTAAAGTATATTGAAATACATAAGATCACGATAGGCGCATTATCAAAGTGAGTACCATAATGTTTAATTCATTCACTGATTTAGGTCAAAACAATAATACATCTAAAACCATTAAAATCTGTTGAATGATGATCTAAACAGCTGGTATTGTGAACAACCTTCTCACTGAAACAACATTTGGGATTGTTGACTATGTGTCCAAATTAGAATCCAAAACTATCTTATGTCCGTGGTTTATTTGTTGACATGCATGTGATGGGTATGTCCATGGTTTATTGGTTGAAATAGATGTCAAGTGATGTATTTCTCCCATATATTATCTTATGTCCAATGTTTATTGGTTGACATAGATGACATGGATGTCATGTAATGGATTTCTCAAAATTAAAAGCTAAATTTACAAAAGAGAGGCGAAATTTTGGATAGCAGTACAGTAAATGTATTCTACAATGTATGCTGGATACTGACCATTTGTACTGAGCAACTGAACATTTACACATTGGAAACATGGGGAAAATATATCAAATCTGTCAAAATAGGAATTAAATTTTTCGTGGCTTTCCCATAATGCTATATAAAGAAATTGTACATTTTTACAAATTACCTGGTTTGGCCAACCCTATGACACCTGTCCTCTGCTTGTTTATCATTATATGGATTGAAGTCTATATCGTGCAGAATAACTGTACTGGCAGCTGTTAAATTAATCCCCATACCTCCAGCTCGGGTAGACAGCATAAAGATAAACAAACTGTCATCATTGGAAAATTTATCAATCAGATCTTGTCTGAAAAGTAATAGTATGTTATTTTCTTATAAAGTATATTTGACAGACAAACTTTATATCACTAACTTGTTGAAAAAAATATCTTTTCTTGTTTGTAATGTGAAAGAATGTTATTGAGTAGCTTTGGCAAACAGGATCACTATAAGGTTGAAACATACTACATGTATCTGTCTCAAAAAAGGGGAAGGTCCGGTAAGGGCTAATTTCGGTCTAAAATTCAAAGTACATCTGATGAAAGATTTTTGATATGCCATAAAACGTCACTTTTCAAATGTTTTTTGTCTAAAATGGAAGTGGCCGCATTCATGTTCAGTCTCAACATTTAAATATGTTATGTTTTATCATTAAATACAACATAAAGCTAAATATTAAGACTGAACACAAGTGCGGCCACTTCCATTTTAGACAAAAACCATCTTAAAATTAGCACAAATGCTAAAATTGTGTCCATTGTATTGTCAAAAACAACCCATATTTATGTAACAAAAGTATTTTACTTTCCAATAAATAGCTAAAAGTTTACATTCTTAACTTAGTAAAAACGCTATATTTTGGGGCCAAAACAGGGTCTTACCGGGCCTACTCCTTTTGTGATTGTAGTGAAAACGTTTAATGCTTAAGTTTTCTCCTATGTATCTTTTTTTTTTTAATATAAAAGTGAAATCTTGAAATTTTTTGTCGTTTTAGGCATTGGTGTTGATATGAGATTTTTAACGATCTGTGTTGATATCTCTATAACTTGTGTAGACTAGAGTTAATTTAGAGCTTACATATGGAAGGCTAGTTCATTGGTAGGAGACCTCTAGAAGCCTGTTTTTAAGATATATTTGTATTGTTTGGATGCTGTTCCATTGATGTCCTCAAATTTCCTTTTATTATTATTCAATAAATACAATGAAAAAGATCATTTTAAAAAATATGTTTTGTTACAAAATCTGACTTATCTAAATGATTATACCAGACAATGTTTTCATGATTTATCCTTTGTTTGACTTCCAAAATAGACTTTTTGGTATTGCTATATTAAAAGTTTCTATATACCTCTCTGTAACAGGTGTCTGGCCATCCAATCTTAAATATTTATGTTTCTCTTGTTTTAAAAATTTCTCCATAATGTCCATTAGCATTGTAAACTGACTAAATATAAGAACTTTCTCTCCCTAAAATAAAAAGCAAAAATGTAATTCTTTGACTAATGATAAATTAATATCCAATAATAATATCCCAAGTGTTCAATAATATTCAGGATGATAATAATTTTTTCAAATAAGTATGTACTCATAGATTATTGGTGGTATTTCAAACAATAGGGTGTTTCTCAGCTACAATCAATCTAAAGGCTGTTGATAATCTGTTTATCACTGTTTCCTAGGCAACATCAACGACACAGGTTAATGACATCATACATTTCCCTTGATTTAGAAAAAAAATGCTGTTGCTAACAGTCCTTGGATACTAGCTATAATTTTCTATCTCTAACAAGTAGCATGATATGAAAAATTATCACTAAAAAAGATCATAAGAAAAATACACATAAAGTGTTGACACAGAGATATGTCTTGCCTGAAAATTCAAAAAAAGACAATCTGACGAACAGCAACATTTCTTATTAATTCAAAGTCAATGGACCATGACCTTGGGGGGCAGGGCTTCAAAATAGTGGTCAAACTGATACGGACTGATAGTAATGCAACTTTATACAAAATATCATTGATCTATCACAAGTAGTTCCCATCAAACTAACTTAAGCAGAAAACTAAACAATGAAAATAGCTAATTAATTCAAAGTCACTGGACCATGACCTAAGTAACCTTACCAATAGAAACTGACCTAAAGGGTTTCCATTAAGATTTACTATCCTACATATACCCTTGTCTAAGATTGCTTGGACAGCCTTTTTGGAATTACTTGGGCTGTTGGACATCAGAAGGCAGCCCATTAAGAAAGCATGGAAATTGCTGACCAAGACTTACTTGGGGCAAGTTTCGGTCCCAAAATCATATTTTATTGGATTCATTATTCATTTTATTCCATAAATATATTATTTTTATCAATGTTCTAACCCCTGTAGCACAAACCAAAGCTCATGTATTAAATGATACTTCAAAACGGATCTATTGGGATTCTGGTTTGGTAATTTTCAGAGTTTCGATATGGAATGTGCTCTGATGTCCCTCTGCCGAAGAAAGTCCTAAACAGTCCATACAACATCAGATCAATCTAGGACTATATGTATCGCTACACATACCTTTTCCTTTTGGTCCTGTAGTAATTGTTTTAATTTGATAAATTTCCCTGATGCTCCTATTACTGATTGGTCTAGCTGGAATTGTCCTAAATAACTCTACAAAGAAACACAAATATTGTCAACATCAAATTACTGTGAATGGAGAAATAATGTAGTAATTTTAAGAAATTTTGTTTTGCACTTCTTAAATGCAGTCTGAATACTGATAGATGGAAGAAGATATATTATAAGGTTGATTAAACAATGACAATAATTATCAACAACATAATGTTTCAGAACGATAATTATCAACTAAGTGTAAAAACTTTAATTATCAACAAAGTGATGTGTAAAAATTTAAATTATTAACTAAGTGATGTGTAAAAACTTTAATTATCAACTTACAGTAATAAAAATATACATAGATCAAAAGAATGAAGAATGATTCACATAGATTTGTACAAATATCAAAAGTTTTTTTTGTGTTTTATTGATTTAAACCATCAGACATATTTATAGATTTTTCTACTTTCTTCTGCAAATACCATCACAATCTTTTTTAAATCTTTTTAAGAGTTAAAAATTCATAATGTTTTCCTTTTGTATAATACCTCTGTAAAATTTATGACAAGATATTTTAGGAATATTCCATTAAAATGAATGTGGGAGGGTAAAAAGGAATTCTTATTTTTGGACATGTATGCAAAATTATTCATTGTATTATATTTGTGGGGAGATTTTGATAGTCCATACCTACCCTACACATTGATTAAAATGGAATAGCCCTTACCGCGCTTCACCAAAGTATGATTCTCTTGTACTGGCTAATTTCATGGGAAGAGCCACACTGTGAGGAACAAAACTTTAAGGCAAAGTAAATAATTTCAAGTCTAACCTTATAATGGTCTATAAGATTCAAAATTTCAAGTCTTACTTTATAATGATCTATGAGATTCAAAATTTCAAATCTTACTTTATAATGATCTATGAGATCTTAATACCTTATAATGGTCTATGAGATTCATAATTTCAAAATCATGCATAACTTGTAGATCTTCATAAATCAGTTGTGGCAAAGCTCCTCTGTCAATATGTGATGGCTCCTACAATACAAAACATGCACAAAAATAAAATTTGTCAAGAGGAAATATCATACGAAAAAATCTTTCAAATCCCCATTTAACTTTAACATTAAAATAAACATAATTTTTGTACATTTAAAGCCCATAGGATAAATCATTTCTTACTTCTTGATATATTAAGTTTTTTTTTAATCAAGGAGTTAATTTATTGCTGAAAAACTATCCTAGAAAATAAAGATTTAATTAACTACAAGTTACAAAAACTAACATAAAAATATTGTAAATTTAACAAAATCACAGAAAGAAGGGTGGTGTTGGTATGGTTGATACTTTATTTTTGTTTTTGATGGTTCAAATGTAATGTTATAAATAATTTCTTGATAGGGAATTGCAGGTGTTGTTCAAATTTGTATGTGATTTTTGGAAAAAATAAGAATTTGATTTGTAGTTTAACATTTCTAATGAATTCAAGAGGGCTGTGTGGTATATGAGATTTGAAGTAGTTGCCAATTTCTTGTATCATATGTGTTTGGTTTAATATAAAAATTTTCAAAATGACATCAGTCACCTGTAATCAGTTAATGAAATTGATGATGATGGCTGCTTAACGTCCAGCAGCAAATTAATATGCATATTCAGGACGAGAACATGTTCATGTAATATGAGTTTTAACCTTGCTTTATACTAGACCGACACGCTGAGCCGGATTTTAACGTGCTAGTTCACCAGGTAACGGTTCGCAAGAAGACATGAAGACCTGTTGTAGACCTTCTGCTGTTGTCTGTACTATGGTCGGGTTGTTGTCTCTTTGACACATTCCCCATTTCCATTCTCAATTTTATGTCACCTTACCCGGACACATTATTCTGACTCCGAGCTGACCAGCCTTTGCTCTTACTCCTTAATGCCGCTTGCTTAGTGGAGAAGCAGCAAATACCAATTTTAAAGTCTTTGGTTTGACCCAGCCGGGGCACGAACCCACGACCTTCCACACTTGAGGCGAACACACTACCACAAGACACCCGAGGCGGTTTAATGAAATGGAGATGGTAGAGACAAGTATACACTTTATTTTACAGTTAACAAAGCAAATAATACATGAATGTAGATGTATGTTCTGATAAATGGACCATGAAATAACTTTTTCTATTGCCAATTACATCTTTTTAATATTATAGCTCTTGAAATTTTCTGCCTTTTTTGCTTTTTTCAATTTATACCAATTTCTGAATTTGAAAAAAATCTTTTCTTACCTTAGCAATAATTTTTGACATTTTTCTGAGTTTATCATCGCTGAAATGATTACGTAGTAACAAGGGATGATTAGCTATTTTGCGTAGCTGCATCAATATAGATGCTCCACCTCCTTTTAATATTTCATTCCCTTCTTCTTTCAATCTCTGTGCAAAAGTTTTCACAGTCTGTTCATAGCTTATTTTTTGTTCAGAAGTCATTTCACATCTGATTAATTCTTCAGATTTCTTTGGCAATTGTTTCTGGACCTGATAAAAAATCAAATATTTTAAAACGCTGGAGATACTCAGGGCAAAGCTTGCAAAGTGATACCCCAAACCATTGCAATGTCCATGATTTGCAAAGGGGAACCCAAAAAAAATATTTCACAACATCAACATACATGCAATCTTTGAAACCTGGGTTGAAGACTGTAGGAGGATTTGATAACACAAAACGTGTACCCTCTTTCATAAATTTTGGTAAAAAAAGATGTTCCTAAGTCTGGAAAAATAAAAAAAATCCTGAAACCATTCCCTATTTGCAGGTGCACAACTACAACATATGTGTAATCTTCCTATGAAGTTTCAGGAATCTGGGTTGAAAACTGTAGGAGAAGTTGAAAACCTCTTTCATAAATTTTGCTGAAAAATTACTTAGTTCCAGTCTGGAAATATGAGAAAAAATTCCTCAAACAATTTCATAATAGCAGGTGCACAAATTCAACATATGTTCAATCTTCCTGTAAAGTTTCAAGGATCTGGGTTGAAAATTGTAGGAGTTGATTACACAAATGAGGTACCTACTTTTCTCTGCTCATCCATACGTCTGCCTAACTGCCCAACTGACATCACAATACTACAACCCGGTTTTGGACTTTGAAAATATACAAAGTGTTAAAAGTATGTTCTATTTAACATCTTATATGATAAACACAGTTCTTACCTCTGATTTAAGACGTCTCAGTAAAAATGGTTTCATGATACGTTTAGCTTGAGCTATTCTCTCTGCACTATACTTGCTTTTGTCATCACCAGCTCTCTGAAACATTAATAAGAAGATCATAACAAATTATAATACACACATATAATACTGGAACACATGAACAATACTGTAATAAAAAAAAAACAACTTGCACAAAGCCATAATTTCTTTGTTTACTTGTTTCCATGATTTATTTTGGGGAAATTGGTTAAAGTAAGTATAATCTGTAATTCTGCAATAATTTATCTAGAGACCAATCATGTAAATTCTTGTCAAGTCACTTCCTGTTTCTTTCACAATATAAATTTTTTTCTCAATTACAACTTTCATATCAAGCTTAAAAAAATGTTTTAAAATGTGCAAAATATAGACAACGATAAACCACATTTGTCTTTTACACTTACAGTTATCATAGAAAATATTTTTTTGAGATGTTCTGTCTTCCCGGAGAATATTTCTGGCATGACAAAACTTAAAAGAGACATTAGTTCTAGTAGATTATTCTGTAATGGTGTCCCTGTAAGCAATAATCTTCTTTCAGCCTGAAAAAAAAACACAATAAATTAAAGAAATGATAAAGGCATGATAACATATAATTTTTAAACTGATTCAAAGTGCAATATATGACAGGCTAATCAAACATTTCTGAATTAACCAATTAAGGATTTGTTACAGAACAAACTTATTCATATTTGAAATCAGTATGTAATTGATTGTTTCTTATTAACGTCCAATAGTAAACCAGTATGTAATTGATTGTTTCTTATTAACGTCCAATGGTAAACCAGTATGTAATTGATTGTTTCTTATTAATGTCCAATAGTAAACCAGTATGTAATTGATTGTTTCTTATTAACGTCCAATGGTAAACCAGTATGTTATTGATTGTTTCTTATTAACGTCCAATGGTAAACCAGTATGTAATTCAAGTTTTTATTAATCTATGACCTGAAATTTTTCATTTCATTGTCCTTTGGTCTTTAATGGATAGTTTTCTCATTGATATGATGACCACATCTCCTTATTATATAAAAAATCTTTCAAAACTTCAATATCAATAATTTAACAGAAGAGAGAGATCGCAAAATGTTACAAGCATATTGAGGTAATAGCATGGACTTTCGTTGGTTCTCATTTGTAACCTTCCTTAAAGTTAAAATTCATTTTCTTTTGTTAACATACTTCAGTCTCACATAGTTTTTTTGTGAGAACACTTACATGATCCCTACATCTGTTTGAACTTATTTTATAAATGCATTTCAGGTTGAACAGGTGAGAACAAGCAAACAATGTCATTAAAGCAAAACTCAGGTAGGTTAATTGTCATATTAGATGGCATATTTTGGTATTAATATTGATTCACTCATAGGGTCTTTGCATCGGAAATAAACACATTTATTCTAAAACCAGTTGTTGGCATGAAACGGGTTATGTTCTTCTCATATATTTTATGATACTAAACCCCTAATGGGAGGGATTGTGCTTGATTTTCATATGATGAAGACATAATCTTTCAATCAGTTTAATTGAGGTCTGGAGCTGGCATGTCAGTAACTGCTAGTAGTCCTTTGTTAATTTATTATTTGTTACCTATTCTGACATCGGACTCAGACTTCTTTTAAACTGAGTTTTACTGTGCATATTGCTGTTTGTTTATTCTACATTGGCTAAAGGTATAGGGAGAGGGTTAAGATCTCACAAAACATGTTTAACCCCGCCGCAATTTTGTGCCTGTCCCAAGTCAGGAGCCTTTGTTAGTCTTGTATTTTTTTTAATTCTAGTTCATTTATATGTTTTGGAGTTAAGTGTGACGTCCATTTTCATTGAACTAGTACACATTTTTGTTTAGGGGCCAGCTGAAGCCCGCCTCCAGGTGTGGGATTTTATCGCTGTATTGAAGACCCATTGGTGGCCTTCAGATGTTTTCTGCTCTTTAGCCGGGTTGTTGTCTCTTTGACACATTCCCCATTTCCATTCTCAATTTTAATTGATTTCAGAATCTTTATTCTCATTTTATGAGATAACAAGAATTTAAATCAGTTTCACATTTCAGATCGGCATTGTCAATACTGGAAAGGGAGTGACATTTTTGTGTATTTTTTTACTAAGTTTTAAACAAATTTGCTAAATGAAATTTTGATATACTGAAGAGTATTTCCTATTTTCTTAATTAAAATGAAAAGTATATTCATCCATCAGAAGTCAAGGTTTAACATATTGAAGAAAACAGGTAAAAACTCTTCAACTCAGACAATCAATTTTGGCGATTATAAATCTATATGTACTGATTTGTCCCCGATTGTTCATAGTGTTCTATGGATTAAATAATAGATTTACAATTTTCTTGTTTCTTCCTGAGATTCTGAGATGAGATATCTCACAAAGACACATCTTATACTTAACATTAATCTAATATTTAGATTTTGATATCTCATGGGGGACATATTTCTGAGATAAGATGAGATATCGCACACACACATTTGATACTTACATTGATTTTCATTAGATTTTGATATCTCATGGAGGACATGTTTTTCAACATGTGACCTTCATCAAATATTGCATAATGGAAACCTAGCTTCTTAAACAGAGATCGATCCTCAACATTGCCAGTAGCCATATTGTATCTGAAAAGAAAAAAAAATTATCATTACCACCTTCTTAATTTTAGAGGCAAATAATAATTCCATGCACTCCCACAAGTTTTCATTCAAACATAAAATTGCACAAACTCTAAAAAGCACTTACATTGTAACACATAGCACATTGTAGTTGTCATCATTGTCATATAGAATAAATGCCAGAACCGATATTCATCCATGGAGCCATAATAAATCAGGGGCTTTAACTCTGGACAGTACTTAGATAGTAACTAGCACAATGTAGTTGCCATAATTGTCATACAGAAGTGACTCCTGAACTGATCTTCTGTTATCCATAGAGCCATAATTAATCAGGGGCTTTAACTCTGGATAGTACTTACGTAGTAATTATTACATTGTAGTTGTCATAATTGTCATACAGAAGTGACTGCCTAACTGATCTTCTGTCATCCATAGAGCCATAATAAATCAGAGGCTTTAACTCTGGACACCAAGTATGTAACTCTCTCAACCAATTGTCTATAAAGAGCAAAATTAATTTCAATTTTATTCATTTTAGTGAAAAGCTGTTTGATACTGTTAAGTTGGAAATTTTCGCAAAAAAGAGACAAGAAAGTATAAACAAAGAAAATTGTCTAATGATTCAAATATGCCATACAAATTTGATCAAAACATTCTCTTGCTTTTGTACAAAATGTAGATGGACATACAAGTGTATATTTTCATTTTACTGTATATCAAAACACTGCACTTTAAAGGGGCATTAGCTGTCAAATTCATGTTCACCGATTTGACTCAAATTCTCATATTTGATTTATAATATACTAAAACGTATATCCAAATTATAAAAAGTCTAAAATAAACAATTTACAATGCATGAGCTCGATAATATGTATCAGAATTGCGTGTGTATTTTAGTCTAGATGCCATCTAATTTACCATCGTGGTGACCTCAGAAGACTGCCAACGGTCATATTACCCGAAATAAACATAAATATAGATATAAATAGATAGCGAACCCATGCAATTGGATTTTTCTAGGTCTGTTTGATTTCATATTATAGGTTAAAAATATATTTTCAATGTTGACATTCTTTTCCTACTAATAACTGAACACGCCTAATTCATGCGTAACCCATCTCCAGCTTAGGGGTTAAATTGAAGGTTACATGAATAACGATTCAATGAGGTCGAATTATTCACTTGCAGGTGAATAATTCATCAGGGATGTTTCTTTGCTAATTTTGACAAAATTGAACCAAACTGGCTGCTAAAAGCAAATTATTATTCACTATTTCACTTTCACTAACGATTGAACAAAAAAAAATCATATTTTAATTTTTTTTTATATCTTGTAGCTAATGCCTCTTTAACATATATTCATCCATATCCAACTTTTCCAGAGATTCCATGACTTTTCAATGATCTAAATGTTATTCAGTAACAAACTTAAAAGATTTTTTACATAAATTTGTACAATGTAATTTTTTACTACTTAATTCCATGTCATTTCTTACTTAAGTAATTTGTGAACCTGGTTTCGACTAAATACCTATTGAAGATAACGGTACAATGATAGCATGTAATTTATGAACCTCGTTTGAAGTATATACCTATTGTAGATGATGGTACAATGATAACATGTAATTTGTCAACCTAGTTTGAAGTTTATACCTATTGTAGATGATGGTACAATGATAACATGTGGTCCACTCTCTCCTTCCTCTAACAGATGTGCCAGAAATGCTATTGTCTGTATTGTTTTACCTAATCCCTGCAGAAGATAAAATATACATTGATGTTTTACTAAAGGTCTTCTGAATAGCCAATATATGAAAATTTCAAGATAAAAAAGACTTTGCCAAAACTACATGTAGTACTGCTTCCCCAAAATTACAGCAATCATATCTATAATACATTCTGTTATAAATGTGCTATAAGGTTCTGTTGAGAAAACTGAGAAACTTATGCAACTATATAAAAGCTTGAACAAAAAGTATGGGTAACTACAATTTTTATCATATTTTCTTTTGTTTCAAGTCTAACATTCTGTCAAATATTAAAAGTAAACCAATTTAAACAAATGAAAATAACAACTAACACTCATCAATATACAACTAAACAATAAAATAAGGTCATCATCTACAGGCATAATAAAACAAAATCTGGATAAATATCATACTTTATAGCTGAGTAGTGGACACACAAGGGTAACACAAAAATCTATGGGGTCCATTTTATTTTCCATGTGTGATAATCCCAAACTCTCACCTTCCCTCCATTAATGTAATAAACCATTAAATGTGTCAAGACACCATATTATTGTTAGGTATAAAAAAAACAGACCCGTCCTTGCTGCTGATCATTTTGTCATACTTAACCCCAAAACACATTCCACACAGATACCCACCATTTCATCTGCTAGGATACCATTTAAATGCTGTGTGTGCATTATTCTTAACCAATTCAGTCCTACCATCTGGAAAGGTTTCAACTGATAGCTGTAAAAAGTAAAAGAATGTATTAACTATTAACCTTAATCTCCATCCTATGATGATCTATAAAGTCAATTCCATCATGAAGATCTTACAATAGGTTTTTAAATATGGCCTCCTCAAATCTACATCAAGATAAATTCATAAGTGCATAGAAATAAGACAGAAATTGTTCATCTTAGAATCCATAGGAATGATCAACAGAATAAGTGATACAAAATATCGATTTTGTGGGGGGGGGGGGGACATAGTATTTTCTGGAACAGCCCTAATAGCCTTGATTGTTTTGCCAAGGATTTAGATTGCCTGATGGTTTTGCCTACGAATAAGATTGCCTGATAGTTTTACCTAGGACTAAAATTGTCTAAATATTTTACCCAGGATTGAGATTGCCTGATTGTTTTGCCTAGGAATAAGATTGCCTGATTGTTTTACCTAGGATTAAAATTGTCTGAACATTGTACCCAGGATTAGGATTGCCTGATTGTTTTGCCTAGGATTAAGATTGTCTGATTGCTTTACCTAGGATTAAGATTGCCTGATTGTTTTACCCAGGATTAAGATTGCCTGATTGCTTTGCCTAGGATTAAGATTGCCTGATTGTTTTACCCAGGATTAAGATTGCCTGATTGCTTTACCTAGGATTAAGATTGCCTGATTGTTTTACCCAGGATTAAGATTGCCTGATTGCTTTACCTAGGATTAAGATTGTCTGATTGTTTTACCCAGGATTAAGATTGCCTGATTGTTTTACCCAGGATTAAGATTGCCTGATTGCTTTGCCTAGGATTAAGATTGCCTGATTGTTTTACCCAGGGTTAAGATTGCCTGATTGCTTTACCTAGGATTAAGATTGTCTGATTGCTTTACCTTAGATTAAGATTGCCTGATTGTTTTGCCTAGGATTAAGATTGTCTGATTGCTTTACCTAGGATTAAGATTGCCTGATTGCTTTATCTTAGATTAAGATTGTCTGATTGCTTTACCTCAGATTAAGATTGCCCCATTGTTTTGCCTAGGAATAAGATTGCCTGATTGTTTTACCCAGGAATAAGATTGCCTGATTGCTTTGCCTAGGAATAAGATTGCCTGATTGCTTTACCTAGGATTAAGATTGTCTGAATGTTTTACCCAGGATTAAGATTACCTGATTGTTTTACCTTGGATTTAAGTTTCCTGGTTGCTTTTTTATCTGTATATCATCATTATCAGCCTCCTCTAGCTCCTGTTTATTTGTCAGATAGGAGACGATACTCTCCATGTTCTTTGATATTTTCTCACATTTCTCCATCAGCTTGATCACAACATTCCTGACACGGATAATCTCATGACAACCATGGATCACATCATATGATAAACCTTTTGTTGTGGTGAAACTCTGAACCTAAAATAAAATGAAGTTATGACAACTAAAGATCACATCATATGATAAACCTTTTGTTGTGGTGAAACACTGAACCTAAAATAAAATGAAGTCATGACAACTAAGGATCACATTTCATATCATATGACAGACCTTTTGTTGCATTGTAAGTGCACACTTAAAATATGAATATGCACCTCCCCTTGTAGCCTTTTCATGAAAATTCAGTCAATTGAAATAAAACACAACCTTGATCTGTAAATCATTATTATACTTTAAAGTCATATGAAACAACTTTCTTGTAATTTAAATGTTATCGAAATTATTGAACCAATGCATGCATATATACTTAACTAAGTCCTGTATGCACAGTATTTTTTATATCTATTACAAATCTATAATGTATTATCGACAAATAATATTTCATTCAGTGACTGTTGATCGCAAGCTAATTAACTTTCGAGTTTGTTGCCGAAGTTTACCAGATTGTGACATTGCTAAGCAATCAATACACAGCATGTAGAATAAATCATGAGACTAAAGAAGAGGTTCAGAACAACCTAAGTCACTACAGATCAACAAACCATATCTGAAACTCATCTTTATTCAAATTTGAATGAAACATTTTTAAACCTTTACACTTAAACCAAACGATTAACATTACAAACCAGTTTATCCCATGTTTTAAATGGTTTCAGTGCCTCTATAATCTCTGCTTTCCTTTTGGATACTCCAGGCATAGTGCTAAGTTGTTCTAATGTAGCATCATCAAAGAATGACAGAATGATGGATCTCTGTCCAGTATCTTCTTCCTGTCAGTAAAATGATTAATATTCTTTTCCTTTGTACATGTGAATAGCTATACATATACATGAAAATAAATTAGAATGTGGTTTATACACCAATAAGATAGCAAAATAACAAATCAAACAATCGAAAGACAAACATCTTTAGAATAATCACAAAACCTTTAAACTAGAGTAAGAATATCTGTGCCTAGTGGATATGGAACTGCACCAATCAATTAGTGACTAGCAATGCCTAGCCAGAGTATCAAAAGAATATATGATAACAGTTGACATGTAATGCAGAAAATTGTCTCATTTGTTTACATTCTTTACAATTATAAATCTTGGTCTTCATACTTTAATACAAAACATATCATCATTGTCTGAAGTCAATAGTGTGATAAACCTCATTTGCATATGATAATACTAACCAGACTGTATAAACATTTATTACTGCCATAATCCTCATCTTAAAACTAAAATCAGTGTCCTAACTTTTATCCTCATTATCATATTTACAACAATACTGGCCTCAATGTCATAATTCATATCTTCATACTTACATCAATAATGGTCTCAATGTCATAATCCTCATCTTCGTACTTACATCAATACTGGTCTCAATGTTATAATCCTATCTTTATATTTACATCAATACTGGTCTCAATGCCACAATCCCAATCTTCATAATTACATCAATACTGGTCTCAATGTTATAATCCTGATCTTTATACTTACATCAATACTGGCCTCAATATCATAATCCTCATCTTCTTACTTAAATCAATTCTGATCACAATGCCACAATCCCAATCTTCATAATTACATGAATACTGGTCTCAATGTCATAATCTTCTTCTTCATACTTACATGAATACTGGTCTCAATGTCACAATCCTGATCTTTATACTTAATTCAATACTGGCCTCAATGTCATAATTCATATCTTCATACTTACATCAATACTGGTCTCCATGTCATAATCCTCATTTGCATACTTACATTAATACTACTCTCAATGTCATAATCCTCATCTTCATACCTACATCAATACTACTCTCAATGTCATAATTCTAATTTTCATACTTACATCAATACTCCTCTCAATGTCATAATCCTCATCTTCATACTTACATCAATACTGTCTTCACTGTCTACACATTCATCACTATCATAATCCCCATCTTCATCATCTAAAGCATCTGTCAATCAAAATCAATTTTCAACATCATATATGTTTTTGAACAAGAACACATAATAAACAAAGTTATAGCATCATTATTCTTTATAGGTTCTTGCAAAACATTCTCCTGAACCCCAAAACCAATATATTTCTTTTGGCATTGCTGCATCACGAATAAAGATTGAACTATTAGTGCCCTTAAAACAATATGACAATTCAAATTAAATATATGTTGTATTTAAAACTTTAATCTTATTTTTATTTTGTTGGGCAGCATTTCCAGAATTTACCTCTCATTTTATCCATTGATCAATATTTTAAAATTTAAATGCATGTAATAATTTCTGAATTAGCAGTAATATATTTTGGGAATAGCCCTAATAAACAATGTAGCTTTGATCCTGCATCTCTATGCTTTCACTGATTTCAGTCCCTTTTTACAACATATGTTCCAAAAGATTTATTTTGTTATCATTGTTGGTTGTATGACATTTAAAAGCAATTTTTAAACAGATTTACAAAGGGAGACAATAGCTCATGTAACTTTGAACGAACAAGAAATGGTTCAAAACAATGTACTATATACGAACCAGCATAATCATCAGTGGACCTTTTAGCAGCTTGTTCTAGTTTTTCTGTTGCAGCCTCAATAGACCAGTTATTCTTTGATAACAACTTTTTCAAGTACTGAAAAATATCAATGTTTAAACTGATGCACATGCTGAACTTTGATTGCTAAAAAACAAATAATTCACATAGTTCTAGAAAAGTTAATCCACAACTTATACTATCGAAAAGTATTTAAGTGACTAAACAACAAATAAATTTAGGGATGTGCGTAATGCATGTCATCGACAATGCCTTGCCATTGACAAATGACGTCAAGAGTAGTGAAATTATCAGTTTTTATTTTCCTGGGATATCTCAGTATTTCCTTTCAACCAATGTAATAATTTTAGTTCTATTCATCTTTTCAAAAAATTGTGTATTTTATGACTGTCATCTTTTTCTGAGGATAATTAGAAGTAAGATATTGACCATATAAATCAAAAACAGACAAAAACAAGCATCTTATAGTCATCTGTAATTAATTTTACCTTTTTAGATTTTTCGGGATAAGCTTCAACGAGGAATTTAATCTGCTCCTTTTGATCCTGAGAACCTGGTATTGTTTCCTGGCTGTCTACGTTGTACTCCACAGTAGCTTGACTGTCTGCAGTCTGAGAATATGAGACAGTCGTTTGACTGTCCATGTCTTCACTGTCACTAGACTCGACACGACGGCACTTCTTCCGTGGAGGAGCAGATTGTTCTGAGTCGCTACTGTTAAATCTGATAACTCGTTTCTTCTTCATAGGTGGATTTAATGTTTCTAAATACAGGAAAAAGTAGATTGTAAGGTTTCAGTTGTCAGGGAGAATGGGTGTAAGTGTGTGGGTTTGCTTAGGAAAGAAGTGATTTGTTACTGTTGATTCATTATTTGTTGGGTTCTGATTTCAGTGGATTCGGTGATTAAAGTTTGCCACAAATGTTAGTTTTCAAAAATATAAAAACTTCTATAAGCTTGTAATTAGAATTTGTTAAACTATCGATCAATCTCAAAAATTGGTACAGCAAAAATAAATTAATCCGCAGTAAGCTTTCTATGATTAACATACTATATACAACAACAACAATTATCATTATGATTTGATTAATCATTCAGATTTCTACTGTTTAAAGATTGCTGAGCAAAAACGCTTTGCAGTTTGTGTTTGATGTCATACAGTTTGATTTAAAAATAAATGGGGAATGTGTCCATAGGACACAGATGATGCCCCCGCTTGCATATAATGTTATAAAGGGACATAACTCAAGAACTGTATAAGTGATGCTACCCAAATTTGTACTTGATTTGAATTTTATGGTAATAAGCATTGTGTATAAGTTTCATAACATTTGGTTGAGGCAAACTTAAGTTAGAGAACGGAAACGATAAATTCAGCAATTTTTCCCTTTGTTATAGGGCACAACTCTAGAACGGTAAAAGTGACGCCACCAAAATTCAAATTTGATATGTGTTTTGTGGTAATAAGCTCTGTGCATAAGTTTCATAACATTTGGTTGAGGCAAAATAAAGTTAGAGAACAGAAATGAAAAATTCAGCAATTTTTCCATTTGTAAAGGGACATAATTCTAGAACGGAAAAAAGTGACGCCATCAAAATTCAAACTTGATCGGTGTTTTGTGATTATAAGCATTGTGCATAAGTTTCATAACATTTGGTTGAGGCAAACTAAAGTTAGAGGACGGAAACCAATTTTGAGGGACAAGGGTAAAACTTAATGCCCCCGCCACTATATGGCTGGGGCATAAAAATAACCAGTCACAGCAAAATTATGACTGTAGTGAATATTTCCAACAAAATGTGGACTTAACATATGAACAACATACATGTATGTCACAGATGTAGCATGCAAAAGTGGCTATTATGAAAAGTAATGAAAGAACCACATATGACTGTTTAATATTTGTATGCTTTCATCAACATTTTCATTTTTTGAATTCTTTCGATCTGTTATTCTGAAAACTAGTTCCATTATGATTTCTGAAATCGATTTTAAACAATAAAAAACTTCCCAATATCTTAATTTGTATGCCTTTCAACATTGTTCAAGACTAGTCTCACCAGTAACTCTTCCAGACATAAATATGTCAACAGCATCCTCTGTGTTCCATAACTTTATCCTGAGAACAGCAACAGCATCTTTGGTACTGACTTGTGGGAACATATCTTTAATCTGTCTGACCTTGTCTGTTTGTCCTCCATCAAGTTCTTCATCGTCAGAAGATTCCTCAAGTTCATTCCTAACATGTAACTTTTGTTTTCTTTTGGAAGCTGACTTTGTACTGGAAAAAAAACAGGAGAATTAAAAAAATGTTCTCAATTAAATTTCCTCCATTTTTCTAGTCGATACTGAACAAATGTAAATGGAAGCAGATTAGAGAGGCTATTGGCTGGTAATAAAGTTACAAGTGTCCCTGGTTGCTGTCTTTTGTAAAATGGTTTGTCATAAATCAGACTATTGGTTTTCTCATAGTTTTGTTTTACCACAATTATAACAAAGATTATATTTTGTGTAAATGACAGTGCCTACCTATGACAACCATTGCCATTTGTCATGATGCCTTGATCTTTGGACAACCAATCACCTGATGACTCACCTTTGACAACCATTGCCATTTGTCATGATGCCTTGATCTTTAGACAACCAATCAACTGAAGACTTACCTTTGACAACCATTGCCATTTGTCATGATGCCTTGATCTTTGGACAACCAATCACCTGATGACTTACCTTTGACAACCATTGCCATTTGTCATGATGCCTTGATCTTTAGACAACCAATCATCTGATGACTCACCTTTGACAACCATTGCCATTTGTCATGATGCCTTGATCTTTGGACAACCAATCACCTGATGACTCACCTTTGACAACCATTGCCATTTGTCATGATGCCTTGATCTTTAGACAGCCAATCACCTGAAGACTCACCTATGACAACCATTGCCATTTGTCATGATGCCTTGATCTTTAGACAACCAATCATCTGATGACCCACCTTTGACAACCATTGCCATTTGTCATGATGACTTGATCTTTAGACAGCCAATCACCTGAAGACTCACCTATGACAACTATTGCCATTTGTCACATTGCCTTGATCTTTAGACAACCAATCACCTGATGACTTACTTTTGACAACCATTGCCATTTGTCATGATACCTTGATCTTTAGACAGCCAATCACCTGAAGACTCACCTATGACAACCATTGCCATTTGTCATGATGCCTTGGTCTTTAGACAACCAATCACCTGAAGACTTACCTTTGAAAACCATTGCCATTTGTCATGATGCCTTGATCTTTAGACAACCAATCACCTGAAGACTTACCCTTGACAACCATTGCCATTTGTCATGATGCCTTGATCTTTGGACAACCAATCACCTGATGACTCACCTTTGACAACCATTGCCATTTGTCATGATGCCTTGATCTTTAGACAGCCAATCACCTGAAGACTTACCTTTGACAACCATTGCCATTTGTCATGATGCCTTGATCTTTAGACAACCAATCACCTGATGACTCACCTTTGACAACCTTGTCATTTGTCATGATGTCTTGATCTTTGGACAACCAATCACCCGATGACTCACCTTTGACAACCATTGCCATTTGTCATGATGCCTTGATCTTTAGACAGTCAATCACCTGAAGACTCACCTTTGACAACCATTGCTATTTGTCATGATGCCTTGATCTTTAGACAACCAATCACCTGAAGACTTACCTTTGACAACCATTGCCATTTGTTATGATGCCTTGATCTTTAGACAACCAATCACATGAAGACTTACCTTTGACAACCATTGCCATTTGTCATGATGCCTTGATCTTTAGACAGCCAATCACCTAAAGACTTACCTTTGACAACCATTGCCATTTGTCATGATGCCTTGATCTTTAGACAACCAATCACCTGAAGACTTACCTTTGACAACCATTGCCATTTGTCAGGATGTCTTGATCTTTGGACAACCAATCACCTGATGACTTACCTTTGACAACCATTGTCATTTGTTATGATGCCTTGATCTTTAGACAACCAATCACCTGAAGACTTACCTTTGACAACCATTGCCATTTGTCATGATGTCTTGATCTTTGGACAACCAATCACCTGATGACTTACCTTTGACAACCATTGCCATTTGTCACAATGCCTTGATCTTTAGACAACCAATCACCTGAAGACTCAACTTCCTCATCTGATTCTATCACATTCTTCTTGATCAATTTACTTTTCTGTTGAAATACTGGAGATGAGGGACTAGTAGGAATCTCTGGCGTTTCTGGTACTACTGTCTGGGAATCCCCTAAATAAATATAAGCTACCAATAATGACAATGTCAATGACTTACTATTGAATTGCCTAGATTTTCTAGTAAGGTTTCCAGGAAATCCCCTAAATAAAAATATATGTGTAATCAATAATAATTTAGTAAATGGCTTCTACCATTTCCAGAGCTTCAGGCCTGGGAATCCTCTAAATGATCACAATTTCAATGCAGGGCTCTCACTACTAGGTAAATGGGATAAAGGAGTCCCTTTCCTGTTCATAACTTCCCTTTTCCTGACCACTAAAAGAATAATCAAGTAGCTTTTGTCATCAGTAACTTTCCTTATAAGTCATGTAAGTAAATATCTTAAGTCATATGAAACTTCAAATTTAAAAAAAAAAGTTGAGTATGTTTTATATACTCGAATGGTTAAGTTTTACTATAAAACTTTCTCGTAAAAGAAAATCCTTTATATTATCAAAATCTTCATAAATGTACTGCTATTGAATTATTGTCCTCCTGTACACTAATTCCCAGAACCTCTCTTTAGAACTTCAGCCACTGCACAGCCCAAGTGCGAGGGAAAACCATGATGAAAGAATGTAAACAAACCTGCACTTGAAGGTAAATAGTAATAACTGATTCCAAAAGAACAAATTTAATACAAAAAATCATTAAACAACTGTTAAGGAAAAGTTTTATTAACAAATGGGAATGCATGGAACAAATGTCATGGTTTTATCTATTCACTTATTTGTTACTTTTCCACATGCTCTTTGTTGATTGTTTATCAATGTCATGATCCGGTAAACTTTGGCAACACACTCGAAAGTTAATTAGCTTGCGATCAACACTCACTGAATGAAATATTATTTGTAGATAATACGTTATAGATTCTTATGAAGTATAAAAATAGTGCATACATGACTTAGTTTAGTATATATGCATGCATTGGTTCAATAATTTCAATAACATTAAAATTACAAGAAACTTGTTTCATATGACTTTGATGTAATGAAGTCTTTCATATGATAAACAATGAATATCATAATATCATAAACAGAATAGTTTTCCTCATTGAACTTTGATAAATAAATGATATTTTCTTTTTATTTTTATTTAATCTTCAACAGTGTTGCCTGACATGAACTGAGAAAACTGTAATGGTAAGTTCAGACACAAAACAAAATTGAAATTGTATGTAGTACAAAAAAGAATTTTTAGTTTCAAAAAGAGAATTCACATCCCCCTATGATTCTGAAATGACTACCGGTTTCTCCAGAATCTCTTGAACTGTAGCTGCAAAAACTAGGCATTACAGGAGAATCGTAGTGACCTACCAATAACACATCAACAGATCTTCCCACTTACCATTTAGAGTTGGTGTGGAACTACATGTATCTACAGTGTCTGAATGTTGATTTTCTTGGCTGTTTTCTGATCCTTCATCACTGTTGTCTGACTGGATCTTTTTTACAGGCTTTTTAATAAATCTATACTGCAGCAGGGTGTTTAGCTTAGGATTTCCACTCATTTTACCTGAAACATACCAGAATTAAGTTATGATTTAATTTAACCCTGAGAACTTGTCAATCTGATGAATGTTATCTTCCTTCTTTAATCCTTAAAGACATGATATAAATGATAAGGTCAAAAGCAAATAAAGAAAAAAATACACATATGAAACAAATCATATATACTTATAAAAGGGAATTCTAGTCAGTTTGACACCTGATTAAATCTGCATCCTTTCTAGAATGTCAAGCTATAGTCAGTTTGATGCTAGTCAAATCGGCACCTAATAAAACATTATCATTATTTGTGCCAATCCAGATCAGTTTTGAAATAACACAACTTTTCATTGTCACAAACCAGTTGAAGCTAGCTGGGGTCTTGTTTAATCAATGTATTGTGCATAACGCTTTTCAAATAGACTTGTTTAAACCATCATAAACACTTCAAACAAGTTATTTGTATGAATTTAATTTGTGTTTCAAAAAATTAGATGATAATCAATCATAATTTCAAAATGTGCACGTTCTAAACTTTTTCCTCCCTCAGCTAATTATTGATGCCATTTGTTTTTGCGACATTTGACCCAAAAAGGAAGTTGTCTAAGTGACTGTTTTGTGGATCAGATTTTATAGCAATAAGGTGTATATAGTAGTTTCTTTTGGCACCTGTGATGTTCAATCAGCATTTTCTAAAACATACTATTCACATTTTTGTCCTTATGGTCAACGGATAGTTGTAATTGTCTCATTAGCAATGATGCCACATTAGCAATATTAATCCTTATATCTTTATATATATAAATTGATTTTATTTGTGTACAACAATTAATTACATGTATAACAGTGTAAAATTAATCAAACAACAAGCAATTGGAGAGCTTCATCAAAATATGAAAATTTAATTAAGTTAGTATGTATGTTTGGGTTGATACCTCCGTTATTCGGAGCTCCCCTCGAAAGCTGTGAGGGTACAGTGGTATCCATGAACATGATGAACACTCTCTAACAGGATTAATGGAGATGTGTCACTAACATATTATGTACAACACACCACCAAGGACAAAACCCCCAACTCAACACCACACAAAGTCTGTCATGGCTATTAAATAGGTTTTTTAGATGAAAATGTACATTTAATATTTCTAGTGACATAATTATAATCAAGCCACACCACCAATCAATACAAAACACCATACAAATTTAATGCTTTCAGGAAAAATAAATTAGTTTTTCAGATATTTGGTGAACTCCAGTTCTACTTCTAGCTGTTTCAGAAATGTCCACAACTAAAGAAATGTGCTCACATCTTTTTTTCTAGTATTTTTTGTACAAAAAGTCTCACTAGGTGATTTCCTCTAGTTTAAAATGTCTTGAAAGATCAATATAAAAGTCGAACAAGTGTCAAACTTCTAGCATTCTCATAACAACACAATATTCTGCAATCGAACGATTGGTTGTCCGTGAAGCTGAAAAATGGCGGGTACAACCAGTGATCTTTTGAGGCATTTCTTTGAGATTTGGGCCTAGCAAGAACATGTATTGAGAGAAAAATATATCTCAGAAAGCTGTCTTTCATTTAAAATGTCTTATTTGATTTATACTGATACATTCAAGGCGATTTTATGGTGACATTTTACCACATTTTTCTTTGTCCAGAATCTGAGACAGTTGAAGAATGAAACGTGCCTTCAGATTAGAGAGTTTTTTCAACCTAAAACCTGCACAACAATCCCGAACTCACACTGAGTCTAATGTGAGCAAATCCATTTACTAAAGTAAGATAAGATAAGAAAACTTTATTTTGATTCGGCATAAGTTAAAAGACACAACACAAGCTCTAAGGAGCTTTTGACCGAATATAAAAACATATACATAACATAAAAACAGTCTAATTTGACATATAAAACAACCTGTTATACGAAGTTAAATCTCACTTACATAGCATGCAATAAAAATTTAGCAACAAATTTAAAATGAAATGAAACATGCTAGACCAGAGCAAACAAAAGCAACATAAATAATAAACATCTCAAGAATTATCTGCAAGCAGAACAGCGACATTCCAAACCATTCCAGGACTGAACAAGACTTTTAAAATGTGAAAAACTATTTTCAGTCCTGAAATGGTTTGGAAGGCTGTTCCATAAAGTAGCGGCAGCAAATTTGAAAGATTTTTTACCGTGACGGGTTGACTTTACCTGTGGAACATCTAAAATATTTACATACCTGAAAGAATACTTAGATTTTTTGACACTCACCAAATTTTGTAAGCACACAGGAGCTATATTATTTATAATCTTAAAAGTTTCTAGAGCCATTGTTCTAATCCGTCTAATCTGCAAGGAGGGCACCTTAGCTTTAAGTAAGAGGTCCTCGTAGGGGCTGGTAAAATCCTCATATACAAAACGGAGTGCTCTTTCCTGCACCTTTTCTAATTTTTTGGAATTTTTCTCAGTGCAAAAATGCCATGCCAAAGGACAAAAATTAAAATTACTAAGAATAAAGGTATGAAAAATAGTAAGTTTACTAAGTCTATCCAAAACTGAGCCCAAACGTTTTAAAACATTTAATTGCTGTGATGCCCTCCTACAGATTGAGCTGATATGAACATCAAAATTTAACTGATAGTCAATTTCAATGCCTAATAATTTTACTGTTTTTTCACATGTAAGGTTCGAGTTTTGAATATGTATAGATGGGTTTTGTTCAAAGGTCTTTTTGCCAACAGCCAAAACTTGAAACTTATCGGGATTTGCTTGCATTTTATTCACCCGGAACCACTCAATAAGTATTTTTGACTCAGATTCCAAAGTTGAAATTAATAAATCAAAATCTGGAGTACAGAAAGGCAAAGTATTGTCATCTGTATAGTTATACAAACTACCATTTTTAACAAAAAGAAAAATATCATTTATAAATATGTTAAACAACAATGGCCCTAGTATAGAACCCTGTGCTACGCCTTTATGGATGTCAGCCCAACCACTCAGAACATTGTTGACTTTAATTTGTTGTTTACGATTAAATAAATAGGACTTTAAAAGAGCAACTGCATGGGGGGATACACCATATGCTGATAATTTATCTAGCAAGATATTGTGAGGCAGGCAGTCAAAAGCCTTAGAAAGATCCATTAATACCGCTGCAATGTACTGGTTTTTATCGAGAGCTTCACGCCAATCTTCTAACACTCTGAGAAGTGTGGTCTGACATCCATGTCCACGTCTAAAAGCACACAAAAAAGGATTAAATATTTTATCAAAGTATTCAGTTAGTTGAATTTCATATATTTTTTCAAAGATTTTAGAAAATATGGGTAAGACACTAACTGGTCTATAGTTTGTTTTTAATAATGGGTCACTCTTTTTATGAAGGGGGGTCACTTGGGCTTCTTTAAGTTTGTCAGGGAAACAGTTATTTTCAATTGACAAATTTACAAGAGTTGTCAGCTGTGGTGCAATATAAGATTTACAATTTTTTACTATTTTTGCTGGAATACCATCAGCTCCTGTTACAGTAGCCTTCTTTATGTTTATTTTATTCAAGATATTATTGACATTTTCGTTAGATACTTTCTTAAATTCAAAGTCAGAAACATGCTTTCTGTTACTCAAAATTTCTTTTATACTTGGGTGATTTGAGGGGTCATATACCACATCTGCTCCAATTTTGTCTGCTACTGTGGAGAAAAAATTATTAAAAACATTTGAAACTTCATTTGGACTATTTACAATTTTGTCATTTTCACACAATAAGATTTTTTGTTCTCCACAGTTCCCCTTTTTTGAGAAAAATGGTTTGACTGTTTTCCAAAACTCGCATGATTTTGACCCACCAGAGCAACGTTGTAAAAAGTATACTTTTATTGATTTTCTCTTTATCTTAGTTACCAAATTTCTTTGTTTTCTAAATTTCTCCCAATTTTTGTCACTCCGGTTTTTAGTATATTGTGAATAAAGCATTTGTTTTCTGTATATGGCCCCTCTCAGTTCTTTATTCATACATGGCAAGTACTTGTTTGTTTGTTTAGTAAAATTATTGCTTTACTTTATATGTAAACAGAAAATCTTCGATAACCATACTAATTAAGAGATCATTTGAAATACATATAATATAATTTAATGTTTGTTGTTAAACTTTGTGAATTGACGTTTGATACAAGTGCATATCATCTTTCAATATTCTAAAAGAATATCAAACTAATATTCTGTGTTAATCTTTATTGCATGAACAAAATATCCTACTCGGTTCTCCATAAATAATATATCATATAGACCTCCACACATTATTACGACTAACAGATAGATTTTTCTTAAATATTTGTTGACCTCCATAATTTGATTCACGATCTCCACAATTGAATTTCATAATATCCTGAAATATTTCAGTACTTGCATAATTCGAATTCTGGATGTCCTGAAAAAAATTAGGAGCTCCAGAAATATTTCAGGTATCACGAAATCGAATTATGGATGTACTGAAATATTTCAGGATATCCTGATCCGGATAAAAGGAACTTGATTATGGAGGTCCAGAAATATACCATGAAGTCCATAATTATTCATTGATGTTCTGAACTCGCATTACGGAGCTCCTTGAATATAAAATTTTGACTAAATCTGAGCTTCATTAGTTGTTGTTGTACGTCATTTTGATCTCGGCGTATTATTATCTGTTCAACAACCCTATTGCTCGAAAAAAAAAAACACTTTAAGGTCGAAGTATTGTGCTGACATTTTCTGTTGCTAACCTTTATTGTTTTGAGGTTTATGTATGAGTTTTACCTGTTAAACTTGGTGGTTCATGGCTGAACCTCTAATCAATTCTGTATTTTTCCTCCAAAGAAAGCTTTTAGCATGACATATTAGTCATTTGAAATAACATTCAATCTTTTTCCGGCCATAAATTAAGAGCATATGTTATTAAAAAAAATTAAGTTTTGAGAACTATCTCAACATTTGAAGAACTTTTAGTGGAGGATAACGTTTTCACAAGGTAACTTACACAAGGCTTCAGATAAGTAGCAATTGGACCTAAGTAGCTCCCCGACATATCATAATACAATCGTTATAGCATGTTTAATTTCGCTACATTCTTTATGGAATTGAAAGAAAGGATATAGCGTGTCAATCCTTGATACAAAATCACTTCACGCACATGAAAAAAAAACCCTAAAGAAACACAAAATTTACAGCTGTTCTTCATCTCAAAATCACTTTGCGGTCCTTAACGAGGCTTGTTCCTCCAAGTCGGAAACCTGCTGTTCAGTGGTTGTCGCCGGTTGTTGTCTAAGTGTGAAACCTAAGTCAGGCTGTTAGTTGTACTCTATATTGTAACACTTTTTGCAATACAGACGCGTTTCAAAGCTTACTGTACGGATATATAGTATGATATTTCCTCATTGTTAAAAGCATTGCGGTAGTCTTTAGTTGTTTTTATACTTTCCTTTTTACGAGTTAGAAAGATGTCTCATTGGCAATCTTACCTCAACTTATTCATATACATATATATTATGTAAATGATAATCCTGTTGGTAGCTGGACTGGACGACATATATATTATATGTAAATGGTAATCCTGTTGGTAGCTGGACTGGACGACATGTATATCATGTAAATGATAATCCTGTTGGTAGCTGGACTCACGGGATGACATATATATCATGTAAATGGTAATCCTGTTGGTAGCTGGACTGGACGACATATATATTATGTAAATTGTAATCCTATTGGTAGCTGGACTGGACGACATATAGTCTAGTTAAGCAGAGGGGGCAACGTTTGTACACACACACACACACACACACACACACACACACACACACATAAACTGGTTTTATGCCTGTACCAAATCAGGCTATATGTGTTGTTCGTGGTTGTCTATTTTATTCGTAGTCATGGTTATATATGGTTTGTGTGGTTTGTTGTACTGTCCAATAGTTTGACAATTCCTGTTACCATTTTTATGTATTATTGACTTCTTAATAAACATGTATTCCAGACTCACTATCAATACTACAGTATCACTTTATTTTTAGACCTGTGTTTACTTTACCATTATTTTTTAATAGATTTTTAGTATTTTTTTCTTCTTTATATTGATCACTTTATTGTTTAAAGAAGTTGTACAAAAATTCCAATCAAATGTAAAAAAAATGGTGAAATATAATCTTGAACGTGTTAAATGTTGTTATTTAACATGTAATTATACTTAATCATTAGACGTTGAATAATTTAAAGATTCGCATGAGGAGATCGAATAGAACAACAAATAAATGCATATACGATATCATACAACGCGTCTTTTAAAAATGACTTATGTCTGCGGATCGGTTGACTCTTTAATCAATTATTGTCTCACTTGGGTCAGAGAATGCATGCATTAAAATGTAGCTCCTACACTGTAATTTTTAAAATTGAAAAATAAAAAAGAAGAAAAAAAAAGATCATTATCGGACAGGACACTTTAAAATACATGTTAGCCAATGGAATCAAAAGAATAAATACGGACGAGTTATTGTTTAGAGCCGTAAGTTCATGGTTCATTGCTCGATATTTCTGATATACCATTGATACAATGTTTAACTGTTCTACATACAGAAGCGTTTTGCAATTATTGATAGTTTTACTAATTGTCAAGGAATTTGGATCGTCCACTGTGCGTGCACAATCAGGAGATAATTATACTACAAAACCTTGTGTGACAAAACGATTTGTTAAAACATGGGACAAGGAAGATTTTCCTAATCCTCAGACGGATATTAACAGTGACTTTTGTGGGAGAGGATGTAAATCTTCTTGGATATGTGACCCTGGACATATTATAAGTACTGAGCAAGGTAAAAAATACTATTAATTGAAGTAAAATGAAACTAAAACCTAGACTTGAGCAATGGTATGTTGAAAGACTGATTTGCTACCATTCGATTTCATTAATAGCAGTGGCGTATCCATAGAAATTTCTACAGTCTTTTCGTTATGTCCTGATGTAGCCTATATATGTATTTTTCCAAACTTTTATTCATATCAAAAGAATGAGCAAAAGGTAGCAAATGAAATAAAATTGTTCCTTATTGTGTGTACCAACTTAAGAAAATGAGAGAGAAGTTAAATAAAAATGAAAAAAATTATAGCGTTCCTATCAGTCATTCAGTTCTTTTCCTGTTATATTTTTATATATTTAAACTCTTTAATGCTCCTTGTGGACCCTATGTATAAGTTGCAAAAAGATAAATTTAATATTTAATTTCTAACCCTTCACATTCCTTCAGAAATGAAGAAAAATAACCCTAAAAAATGTCAACTAAGGAAAACGGAAAGTATACATACATGACCACGAACAAGCATAAATTAACGTCCAGTGACAAATATTTGATGCAGTCTCATGACGATAACACATTAACAATAATGACAATAGGTATGTTTTGGAAGGATGAATGACGGGAGATTTGGACTGATACTGGAAAATAAGGATACTTTGTTGTATTGGAACAGAAAGGTTGCCTTACTGACTCCCTAGAGAGTTGTTGCCAGGGTTCTCTAACGTGCAGAGCCTTAGTATATAAATGTGATTTTGCTTTAATAATGCAAACTTGCATTGCACATTTCTAATAACTCAGATAAACTCAGGTATAAAGACACTAAAATGATCACTCGACATCAACGTAAATGTATTCTGTAATTCCTATCTTGTAGCTGACGGCTTGGACAAAGAGATTGAAGCTATACGTACAACAACACCTTGTACGTGTTTGTCTTGTGAGGATGAAGGAGGGTATATCATTTCGATAGCGTTGGTACCCTCGATTACTTACATACCAGGGTGAGTTATCTACCGTAAGTATTTGATTGGTTGAAAACACACTACTACTGCTTATGAACTAGGTACATATGGGGGTCTGGATGGGGTTTGTAGAATAGAGAATAATGGATAAAACATACAGAATAAAAGGCAAGAAAAATATAGAATAGGGAATAATGGGTAAAAAATAAAGAAAGAACATAGAAAAATGTACTAGAAAAGTTAAGAATACAGAAACGTAGGACCCACATCCAGACCCTTAAATGTGAATAATAGATGTTTGATGAGCATCAATGAGACAAAATCGTACAGAAAACATATGCATACATTCATCGTAACATTTTACCATAGCTGAATAGGTCTATTTTGTAAAAAAATGAGAATGTCAAAGGTTTTCCATAAAGTGTGTTTGGATACTAACTTGATCTTACCACTACTAGATTACCCATTCACTATATTGATTCGAAGAACAAGTTAAACAATACTTAAGTACATTACAAATGAAATACAATGTGCTATAAGATACATCAATGACTATTCTCTGAAGGATTAAATCAATTATTTCATGGGTTATAGCCATCATCTTATTGTTTTATCTATGGATGAGTTGGTTTTTTAAAAATAATTTACAGGGATAAAGACATATCTGGCATTTGCACCGCATATTATTAAGTAATAACATTTTATTGCATGTTCTTTAACATTCAATGAGAAACAATTGCACAATCTTTTGGGAAATTATAAGTAAATAAATATATGTGTGTGTGTGTGTGTGTGTGTGAAGGAAAATTTTAAAATGTGCAGTTAGCGCTAATCAGTCTAATTGGTCCAGAAAAAAGGGACATCTATTTTTCTGTCATAAAATATAATAATAATAATGATTAAAATAAAAAATAAAAGCAACTTTAAAACAATATAAATGACATGTTTCCCTATAGCACTCGAAGCTGATTATAACCTTGTGTATCACCAATGTAGAAGAGTAGCGAAAAACTAAAACTTTAAGAGCAATATTCAAAATCAGATTAAGAATTAAAAACGTTTCAACGTCTCAATAATGAACCAAGTGCATCTTGGAAGATCTCAAATAAATGACGATAAAAGGCAAAATAGGTGAACGAAACGCGACGACAACTTGCGTAACCTGTCGTGGAATGCCTTGTTACATACATAATAGAATTCAGGGGAGATAACTGATATAAAACCGTTCTAATTCAGATGGTCAATCATAACAAGAAATATATGTGTGGTAGAATAAAAAAGAACAATACTGGCATCTGCTCCTATAGATAAACAACTAATCAATTCCAAGGATGAAGTAAATATGTTTGTGATTGTCTTTATTACATCTTCATGTTGTATTTGTATATGTATCTCAACAATACATCAAGTTATCACGTAGCTTCAATTATAGATGATTAATTTGGTTTGATTAATAATATATGCACAAGTCACACAGATTCAGATGCATTACTGTATTTTGTCATACTAGCACTTTTTTTTAATTGCAGTATAAGATAATGAATTATAAAAAAAAATACAAGTAGATATCGACTCTGGCAGTTTGCGGAGCAATGTTTCCAATGCCACATAGAATAAGGAGATGTGGCATGATGGCATATGAAACAACTATCCAACAAAGTCAAAATGGCGTGGATTTAATCAACTGTATGTTTAGTTCTTATACATACATTGTTTTAAATTCCAATTTTGAGTTGATGCATACATGATATATATTTCCCACTGTAGACAATGTTTCAACTGTTTCTGTATATTATGCCTTGTATTGTTATTCTTATGATCTATTATGTTCTGTATTGTCAACATTGAAATTGTTGTTAACATTCTTATCATTTGATCTCTGGTGTATAGTGGTCTCATTTGTGATCATACAACATATCCTTATTTGTTACTGTTTTCATATAGTCATTGTTTTAACATAGATTATTAGGGGAAAATAGCTAAAAATAAGAGCTATATTAAGGACCTTATCTATCATTTTTTAGAGAAGTATCGGATTGGACATTGTGTTTTTATTCTTTTTTTTTTCGATCATTTTCGATTTAATATATAGCTGTATACAATTTTGCCAAACACATCTATTTAAGGCCTAAAGACAAAGATGTGAATAACATACGACCTTCAACAATGAACAAAAACACATGACGTATACATGTAGTAGTATATACGTTAAAAGAATAAAAAGAAGCTAGAATTATCCTTTAACTTCACGTTCCGCTATATAGATAATGTCCTCTCACTAAATAGTTCAAAGTTTGGTGACTATGATGTACGCGTCTATCCAATCGAACTTGAAATAAAGGATACAACAGATACAGTTGAGTTTGCTTCATATCTTGACTTTCAGCGAGATTTGTCAATAATGATCGGTTGAGAACAAAACTTTACGACAAAAAGGATGATTTCAGCTTCCTTATTGTGAACTTCCCCATTTCTATGTAGCAACATTCCAGCAGCGCATGCATATGAAATAAATATCTCCCAGTTTTGATACGATATTCAAAAGCTTGCATTTCTTACCATGATTTCCTTGATGGAGGATTGCTGTTTACAAGGAAGCTTCAATAGTTCTAAGTTGTGAAATTGAAAATTGTAAGATATGATATAGAACTATAAGTGTTAATTATACTTTATTTTATTATGTCACACTTTCATCTTTCGACACCATTGATCTCTTTGAGTTAAGCATCAAATTCAGGCTCTGTAATGATATTTTTATTTTAGTGGGGAAAATGAAGCAGCAAAGAATTTTACAGATTATCTCCACAATGTTTCTTGGTCGTATGGTAATTGTGGCAATGATGTGGTAATATTTGTTTCAAGAGAACTTAAGATGGTATGTGTTGTCTTAACGTATAGCCCCCATTTAAATCATTTACCGCTTGATTCTATTCAATGGCAAATGTTTTTCATCTTGGATGAAAGGAAAGCGTTGTTAATAATATATCTCAGTAGCGCATGGTTAAAATTGTTCCGTTGATAATTTGTTGAATCACATTTAATCCTGTCGCATATGAAAAATGGCAATCTAATTAAAATATAGTTCTCTGATGGTCAAAACTAACACATGTACAAACGAGAACGACTTAATTATTTCAGGTCCAAATATCAGCAGGTAAAATGGTGAATGAAATGTTTGGTAAGGAACGCTTGCTTAAAATTCAAATTGAAGCCGAAGTTTTACTAAAGGAAGACAAAATTTCACCAGGGTTAAATCATTTGGTTTCAAGATTCAGGTAAGCTTTAATATCTCCTTTCAGACATTACATTACATCACTGTTTTAAAAGAGAGGTGAAAGATACCAAAGGGATATTCAAAATCATACGTCGTAAACAAACTGACAAGGTCATGGCAAAAAACGAAAAACGACGAAAAGACAAACAACAGTACACAAACACAATATAGAAAACTACTGAGCAACACGAACCAAACAAAAACTTGGGGGGAGGGGGATCTCAGGTGCTCCGGAAGGATAAGATCCCGCTCCACATGTGGCACCCGTCGTGTTGCTCATGTAAGTACAAATCCGGTGATAAGTCTAATTTGGTAGATCACATTCGAGGAAAAGACCACCGGATTGTGGTTACAAAACTGAATTGGAACATATCCGTCGTCATCTGTGAAACAGATATTCCATAATGGTCAACCAACTCGTGATGGCGTACGTAAAAGTTTCAAAAGGATGACTTCAACTTTAACATTTATAGAACAATATAAAATTTTAGATGATTCATTTCCGTTTTTCAAACATTATATTGCTATCGCTTCTATAGGACAAAATCACAAATATTTTCAAGACAAAATTATAAGGGTAACAAAAAATACGCTGGTTTCTCAGTAAAAGAAACGTCTGAGAATTATGAAATAGATCAGCGTTTCTGATTAAGAATCTATCAAGACTGATATGTACTAAAACGAATTAAAGATGTAAAGAAAAATAGAGAAAATGTATATATATGAAATAAGCATTGTGATTAAATAATTAAATAAAGATTAACTATAAAAAATAGGCAATAAAAAATATGTCTATAATGGGTTACTTTTACAAATTCTGACCTGGATGGAGAGTTGTCTCATTGGCACTCATACCACATCTTCTTATATCTATTAAAAATATAACACAATAGAACAAAACTCGTCTGACAATGTTTTGTATGGCGACTTTTAGTTAAATTCCTATTCACAATTGTTATATTCAGAGGGAATTCATCATATTCTACAATTACACTAAAACCTGTTTTTATGTTTCAGACAAATGTTCAAATTAAAGTCAAGCGACATCCCAAACCATGATAGCCAAATGAATACTGCGTTAGTAGTCATACTAATTACTGTAGGAATACTGTTTCTCATTTGTATTTTCTCAGTGGTTCTTCATCGACAAGGACATTGTCAAAGGTTAAACACATATCGTATTAATCTTCCACCAATCACAATTCGCATACGCAAACCTCATAAACACCACCACCATCACCACCACCACCACGAAAGAAGGCGAAGCAGTACGTCATTGCGTTCCGGGGAAGAGTTGCAACAGATGTACACTGTAGATGATATTAAGGACGAACTATCTAGATAATGTTCAGTTAAAATTGAGGAAGGCGAAACGTTAGAAATGTATGATTGTAAACAAAATAGTTCAAAAATGATCTGTTAGGAAAAGGAGATACAGATTAGAAAAGTAGCATCATTGAAAAATATTGGTCAGTTAACAACGAAAAGTCTTGCACAAATGATAAAGATCAGTTCAATAAAAAGTAAGCACAAATGTGTCACTCGAGGAGTGAGTTGGAAAAGTATATCTAAAATACTGATAACAGCATCGTGTGGGTCTGAAAATCTCAGTTATTTTAAGGGAAAGGGATTTTACATTGTTATATACTTGTTTCCCGTTATTTTTGGTAAAATTGGAAAACTGTTTTTGGGTATGTTTTTTATTTAATATATTTCCTATTCTTGTACTATCAAGTATGGTAGTTAAGAATATGGTTTATTTTATTCATTACATTTTTATATGATATGTTTTTTTCTTATTATATATCGTTTAATGCAATGAGCTTAAATTTTAATCGTAAACAGATGTATTGGCTTTTAAATAAAAAAAAAATAGTGGGATCGAGTAAGTCTCTTTCTCCCTTCTTTTAAATTAGTTATTTACACAAGAGTTATCATGCTAAAATGTATCATCAGCTTTACTGGTTATCATTGTATTTATGTTGAAATCCTATCTATATGTATCAGATAAATTATATTTAATCAATGTTTACGCATAAAACTGATAAAATGAACTATGTATCAAATATTAAAAATAACCAAACCAGCTTGCGATATATCTTTGAAATAAATAAATATAAGAAGACGTGGTATGATTGCAATAACTGTCCTCAAACAATGAGCACAAGCATATTGCATAGCCTGTTATAAAAGGCCCGATGTCAATATATAAAAAAGAGGGGGGTTTCAAATGCTATCAGTATCCCTGGATCAAAATGTACATGAAGAGCTCCTTTATAAATTCTAATGGGGAGTATTCTTTCCCTTTTTTAACAATCCTTATAAGAGAACGGAGATCTGTAATTCGGGGTTAGGGTACACTACAGACGTCCCATTTAACCAATTTTAGCAATTGGGTGTTAGTCGCTGCAGATCAATAATGAAGATAAAGAAAACAACCGAGACCAAAGTGTTCACTCTGTATTCTGAAGCGATCTGCATTAGAGTAAAAATAATTCTCAATTGAAACTAATATTACAAAGCCTCTTGCCTACAAAATATCGTCCCTTTAAAACCAACACACAAAACAACCACACTGATAACTTAGCTAATTATACAATCGACCACTGTTGAATAGAAATTGTTCAAGAAAGAATCATACACCCCATTCTAGCAGATGTATACTTTAATGTAAAGAATAAATTCCCATTAGGGAAAACAATGCGTAATTACATTAACATACATTTTAAGTATGAAACATTTTACTGCATTAGCATGTCATCAGGACAAGTTCCGCTTATAAATTGAACGGGGGGGGGGGGGGGGGGGGGGGGGGGGGGGGGGGGGGGGGAAACGAAAAAGAAAGCTAACTGGTCCGAGTACACAGTTATCGTCCTTTGATTTTCGTTGTAAATGTAGTCCCTAGTGTGGACAGTGTGTTACTTGCCATTTTTTTTTATACCCCTTCTAAATTTATTTCTCCATGTTTTATGACTCAAATAGCAAGTAGGGGGGTGAAATGACACTGTAAAAAAATTTGGGTCATGAATTTTAAAGTAAAGTAGTGATTTGGTCCAGCTGAAAAATGTTAAAAATTAGCACTACGGAAGCTGTCAAAAGATTTGAAGACCCCCTTAACATAAAATTGTCCATATTTTGAGTTAGAGCCGATGAAGTTTTCTATAATTTTGATATAATTTGTCCCAAAAGTAGTACAACACACTGTAAAAATATTATTGAGAAAGCGCAGGTGGGATTTTTTTAATTTTCATTTATTGTCTAAAAGAAATGCACTACGAAATAACTGTGTACTCGGACCAACTGGAAAACACGGAGACCAATACAAGTGTTAAGGTGTAATGACAAAGTCCGGAGGGGAAATATTAATATCCAGGAACATTACAAACATGTTCGCACTTTTCAAAGGCGATTTCAGGTTAAATGAATAACAGAAACATTCAATAAATAATCATAAAAAATGAAATTATATAGCACAATCAAATACATGTCAAAGTTATTAAAATCCGTCCTCCCACAATGGAAGAAAATTTGTCTTTTTAGACACAAAGAAAAATGCCGGATTTCCTACAATACAGCATGAAATTAAAAAAAGTCTGCGTGAATAAAAAAAGCATCGCTACGGTCTCCTTCGACTGGTCACCTCAGTGTGGCATTGGATATTTCGCAAACACCTGCCTATTCTCTAATTTTACACCTGTCAATAATTTATTCTCATTCCCTACACCAAAAAGCGGATGCAATATATATTTGTGTTGTATAATTGAAGATGGTTCACAATTTGCAACAGAGAGGTTCACCTTCAATCTAAATCGATATAAAAAAATTTAATATATATATGTACAAATTTTTGCACCTCATGTTTGTGGTATATCATCTATTCCGCAAGTTTCTTGTTTTCTGTATGGTATTAAATTAATATTAAGATCCTATTTCGACTCTTTAAAATTCAAGAGTCTATCCTAAACTGAGGTAAATTATATGGCCTTCCAAATTCCGTTTCGATCCCTAACATCACTGAAGAGACATTAATTGTCGAAATCCGGATATGGTGTACAAATTTTTGCACCTCATGTTTGTGGTATATCATCTTTTCCGCAAGTTTCTTGTTTTCTGTATGGTATTAAATTAATATTAAGATCCATTTTGTTACATCTAGTGATCAATTTATTTGGCAATCGCCAATGGCAGTCAGCAGGGTTTAAGAACATCCGTTGTTCGACCTGTTAGTCAAATGCGTTTTGTTAAAATATACTTTTTCACTTTTTTGGTCTTTTTGAAAATGTTGTTTGTGCTGTATTTAGACCACTCTACCAAGAAATTTGTTTTACATGCACACGTATAAAAATTGCGGTTTTTATCCAACGCAATCATAGGTTTGAACGTTGTTTTCAATTTAGACTTGTTTATATATATAAAAAAAAAGTGAAAAAGTGTATTTAAACAAAACGCTTTTGACTAACAGGTCGAACAACGGATGTTCTTAAACCCTGCTGACTGCCATTGGCGATTGCCAAATAAACGGATCACAAGATGTAACAAAATGGATATATTTCTGTTTTAAATTAAAAAAAATGTAATAAGACCCGTTGGTTTACCTCTGACCTTTCATGATGTTTAAAGCAGAAATTCAGATCAGTTTAAAACTGTATACTTTAAGATGACCTGGTGACATGGGGCAATAATAGTATTCAAATGTGACGTTGTGACCAAAGGGCTAACCGACTGGAGCCCGTTTTTCGAATGATATATGTTATACATATATTTTGAATTGTACCTTGCTTGTTTGTATTTTAGTATTTTATGGCTCCACAATAGTCATTTTTTAACTGATAGACATTAGTGACCTGCATGTGGGGAATGTATTTTTTTCTTTAACAAAAACCAAACAAATTCCAATCCCAACTGTGAAAAACAAATTCTGATTAGGGAGAAGGAAAAACAAAATTTCTGATTGAGAGTATTTGCCATTTAATTTAATGTTAAGGTCAAGTTAGAGGAAATGGGCTATGTCACAGATTTTAGTAAACTTTTGAATACAACTCTACCTCGATGAACTACAACTGAAAATCGAAAAAATAATGCATTGATTTCTTTTATCATCTGAAATATTACTGCTGAAATCTCTTTCAAAATGGGTCAACATTTATATAGAAAGCACATAAAATCGGCGAAAAACCTTATTTAATTTGTCTTTTAAAAATCATCAAATCTCTAATTTCTAAGACATAGATTTTTTTTAAAAAACTATATGTTGTTGATACATAAATTTCCGTTTTAATGACGTAAAATAAAGTTAGGGTCACCGACTTCGTGTTTACGGTATACATCATTAAAAGGGGTGTTCTATGTGAAAAAATACCACAACACGTCGAAATAATCGTAGTTACGATATGATCGTCATCGCGTTGCAGGCCGTAAAACGTTTTTCACTGCCAACTAGGTAACAAATTGATAATTAGACCAAAAAAAAAAAACGAAGTCGTTGACCATATGATTATTTTATATCATTAAAACAGAAATTTATGTATCAACAACATATAGGTTTTTTTAAAGAAAAATCAGATAACAAATGAAATCCTTCCTGAAAAGCGTGTGTATATTATTTGTGGTGTTTAGATTTGAAAATCAAAAGCAAAGAATTATCTTTCTTGATTTGCTAATTCTGAATTTTGAATTTAGAATTGTGAAATTTGAAATCTGAATGATGCTTCATTAGACAATGGAACACCTGAGATCCGCCCACATTTTTGGTGGGGTTCGTGTTGCTCAGTCTTTAGCTTTCTATATTGTGTTGTGTGTACTGTTGTTTGTTTGTCTTCTCTTTTTTAGCCATGGCATTGTCAGTTTATTTTAGATTTATGAGTTTGAATGTCCCTCTGGTATCTTTCGCCCCTCTTTACAGATTTTTCTTACCATTCTATAATTCCCAGGTTTTTTTTACATGAGCAACATATGTGGAGCAGGATCTGCTTACCATTCCCAAGCACCTGAGACCACCTCCCGTTTTTGGTGGGGTTTGTGCTGCTCAGTCTTCAGTTTTCTATGTTGTGTTTTGTGTACTACTGTTTGTCTGTTGGTCTTTTTCTATTTTAGCCATGACGTTGTCAGTTTATCTTTTACTTATGAGTTTGAATGTCCCTCTGGTTTCCTTCGCCTCTCTTTTTCTGTATGTTTGTGACTTCAATACATACTAGTATTTCCATTATTGTGATAACATTTTTATATTATATATTTTTTTTTTATCTTATATGTAAACAGATGTATTTGCTTCTAAAATAAAATAATATAATATTAGCGGGATCGAGTTAATCTTACTTAATACTTTCCTGTAATATTAGCGGGATCGAGTTAGTCTTACTCCATACTTTCCTATAGTATTAGCGGGATCGAGTTAATCTTACTCAATACTTTCCTATAATATTAGCGGTTTCGAGTAAGTCTTACTCAATACTTTCCTATAATATTAGCGGGATCGAGTTAATCTTACTCAATACTTTCCTATAATATTAGCGGGATCGAGTTAGTCTTACTCCATACTTTCCTATAGTATTAGCGGGATCGAGTTAATCTTACTCAATACTTTCCTATAATATTAGCGGGATCGAGTTAATCTTACTCAATACTTTCCTATAATATTAGCGGGATCGAGTTAGTCTTACTCAATACTTTCCTATAATATTAGCGAGATCGAGTAAGTCTTACTCAATGCTTTACTATAATATTAGCGGGATCAAGTTAGCCTTACTCAATACTTTCATATAATATTAGCGGGATCGAGTAAGTCTTACCAACACTTTTAAATTATATTTACACAAGAATACACACGCTGAAATGTCTCGCCAGCTTACTGATTATGCTTTGCATTTAATGTTGAAAGTCCAACTATCACACATTTTCTTCAAGATCAATGACCATTATAAATATGTCAGATAGTCCCTGTCAGACGTAAATATACGCCTTACAATAATCCATCGGTATTTGGCACAACTTTCAGAATTTTCGGTTATTAATGCTTTTTAACATCGTAACATTTGATGTGGCTTTGCAACTGTTTTGCCTCGAGCGCCACTGATGCGTCTTTTGTAGACGAAACGCATGTCTGGCTTACCAAATTATAAGACTGGTATCTTTGATGAGTTTGTTTCTAAACACCGAATTTAGTTGACCATTTACTTATATTATCTGAGAATCCAGACTCATCACGAAAACTGAACGTTCACTAATGAACCATAAAAAATGAGGTCATTACCAGATTTTTATTGCCATGATTTTTTTTCGTTTATCCTTCTTTCAAATACTGAAGCTTATTCAAAAGTTGAATGTACTAGTATGTGGTTCAGTGTTAACTTTTGTGCAGTTTCGGATAGCACAACAGTTCCATATATTTACAGATAAAACCTTTCTTACACAAATTAAAACTATTTATTAGATGTGCTGGCTTATTTCGTTCGGATTATGCATTCAAAGCAGCTTTTAATCCTTCTATTTTGTCAGCCGATGTAACTTTAAATTGTAGTTGATTCCAATACCTAATGATCCTAATGACTGTCCATAGGCTTTGACGTTTTTTTCTTTCTTGGAAACGTCTTTTAAAGATTAATCTTGTTAATAGTATCATGAGATTTGAACATCTGTAAACTAATGTTTCCTGTAGTCTGGCAGTCGTTTGGTATTAACCATTGCTGGATGTCATTATCTTACAGTTCATGCTGTAAATGTTTAAATACCATACTAGGTCTATTGTATTATTAGTTCTTTAAGGCCTTCTCATTATTTGTTACGAAATGTTTGTAACACAGCCTGTCTTGTTCGTTATATGTAGTTGTTTTGTACAAATCTCACTGCTCGTTTTTTGTACTTTTTGTACTTAATCTATTATGAACATTCCACTATGGGTCTTAACATGATATGGGACTGAAATTATAGGTTTGGTTTGTGACCCGGATTTGTTTTCGCTTAATTGATTTATTGATTGATTGTTAGTTGCTTAACGTCCAGTGGCAACTATTTCATGCATATTCAGGACGATTTAATTGATTTAAGGCAACAGTAGTATACCGCTGTTCAATAGTCTTAATTGATTTAAGACTATTGAACAGCGGTATACTACTGTTGCCTTTATTTTTCGATCTGTTTGTGAGGATTTCAATAAAATAAATACCAATGTCCTATTTCCTTGCCTACAATGTTGTCAATTTGACGATCTCAGAATAAGTTATTACTGTTGAGTAACCCTAGGTATTTGATGGCTTCAACATGGTCTGATATATGTTCATGAATTTAGAAATAAGAAAGTGTGATTGCCAACGAGGCATATATCTTCCAAAAACAAAATGACGTAGATCTTAGTAACGATAGGTCAAAGTCAGGAGCCTGTAATTCAGTGATTGTCCTTGGTTCCTGTCTATCCTATTTGGTTTTCGTTTATTGTTTTGTACCTAATCAGGCAGCTGATTTTCTTGTTTGAAATGTTTTACATTTCATCATGTCGGGAACTTTTAATCTTACTACACTGCTACTTTTGCATAGGTACTATATCTGTACTAAAAATCTGTAGTACTGGAAATTTACTTTTAATATTAAGTACTATTTCTTTACTTTGAAATTCCTGTAATATTTAGGTACCTGTATTTTACAGTACTTGATTTGTACTTGAAATTTTTGGTACAGAAGTAATACCAACAGTGATAACAATATTCCATGTTTGAAAATCATAACTTTAAGAGATTTGAAATAGACAAACTTTCAAAATGCTGAAAATGTAACGGTGTAACCAAAATTTTGTAGTACTTAAATTTCAAGTACATATGAAGTACTGTAAAATACAGGTACCTAAATATTACATCTATTTTAAAGTAACAAAATAGTACTGAATATTAAAAGTAGATTTCCAGTACTATAGACTTTTGGTACAGAAATAGTACCTACGCAAAAGTAGCTGTGTATACGGTATTGGTTTTATTCAGTGTTGAAGTCCGCAGGGTTGACATGTACATATGACATGTGGCGGGATGAAATAGGTTTTCATTCGCTCAGCCGTCCTAACCTAAAACTTTATTGTAAAAGCAAAACATACAAAAAATATCTGTAAAAAATAGCTTAAAAAGGTTTTAATTGACACAAATCACAAAGCAACTGACAAAGAGACTAAAGACACAAAGAAAGACGGATTTATCTTGTTTCCAAACTCCTGTATAGTGTATATCAGATATTTGTTGAATTTTATTTAAACTGAAAGCACAAAGTATCGATCTAATAGTGCTCGCAGTTACTGAAAGCTAGTTCAAAACCAATTGCAACTTATGAATAAATAATTTTTGTCGGATTAAGATATTAATCAGTACAAATAAAATGGATTTGTATCTCAATTTACGGGCTCTATAAAAATATTCACGTAAAATGAAGATGTGTCATCCCGTTTGTAATAAGTTACATAGCGTAAGATAGAGCCATAGGAACATCACCGTCCAAAAAGAAACATTGTAATAAGTTACATAGCGTAAGATAGAGCCATAGGAACATCACCGTCCAAAAAGAAACATTGTAATAAGTTACATAGCGTAAGATAGAGCCATAGGAACATCACCGTCCAAAAAGTAACATTGTAATAAGTTACATAGCGTAAGATATAGGAACATCACCGTCCAAAAAGTAACATTGTAATAAGTTACATAGCGTAAGATATAGGAACATCACCGTCAAAAAAGTAACATTTATAATAGGGAACAAAAAAAAGCGTTTCTTTTGTTTTTACACCTTACCGCTATTTGTCCGCCATTACTGGACATCACAAAGGTTCCCGTAAAATTTTGACGTCACAATAGAAAATACCTGACGCCGCAATGAAAAAGTGATTGTTGTATGACGTCAATAGTTCAAGAGGCGCAGATTTCCAAATAGCGATCAGGTCTATGAAATATTCAAATTCTAAAAAAGGACAGATATTGATAGCCAAATTAGATTTGTTAAAAAAAGTTTGCTCCATTTGATATGTTTATAGAGATTGTAGAATGCTTTATATCTTGTCTGTTTTTCTGTGTCTCTCGAATTATTATGCATTTTTTTACATTGAAGCTCATTTGGCTTTGACAAGTATAAATAAAGCAAAAATTTATTTGTGTACTTGTTATTTGTACAATAGTTAGTTGATTGCAGAATAAATATTTATTTAAGGCGTAAAACTTCAACAGTCAATATACGGTAGGACACGTAACCAACTATAAGCTTTGTTTTTAAACAGTGAAAAGAAAGTCAATAATTATAATATCATGCTATGTACACTTACAGATATTATGCGTTGAAATACATATTTAACTACTGTCACATTTTCTGTCAGCAACTGTATATACAATAGCATGATCTTTTCTGTAGTCATTATTGATGCAGAAACTTATGCAATACAATTAATTCTTAGTAATAATTGATGCAGAAATTCGTGCACTGAAATGAATTCTTAAGTCATCTTATGTGATAAAATGAATTCTTTAATCATTATTGATGCAGAAACTTGTATGATAAAACAATGGATTTATTTCAGTAAAATATAAGAAGTAGAAACGGTGTTTTTTAATCACCACAAAGGAGATTTAACATTGTGCAATTGATATAATTCATTATCCCCGGCTTAGTATATTTCTAGGATTCTGATTGGTTAACGCACGTCGTTACAAAACCCATAGCCCCTGGGTGTTGCTAACCCATATCCCCGGACGTTGCTACCCATTACATCGGGGAATTTCACGCGCGTTTTCCTTAGTTCCATGGTTGTTCCTTATGAAATATCGAATTCTGTAGATTTTCCATGATGTCTGAATAATTAAATATTTAATCCACTAACGATTTTATCTTATTATATCGATTATTTGCACTCATTTTAGTAAATGCATCACTATGCAGCCACATTGTCAATGGATGGTACTACTGACCTAGCTATGCAAATGACCCACGTTGACGTCACACCGTTTATGATGTAACTCTCACAACATTGCGCGCCAAATTCGCCCCATTTCAGTTTCTCTGTCTCTAATTTAAAAACGTCTTATATTTGTCTACCTGTAGGGTTCTACCAAAGGTAGTACCCTACACCCCGTTAAAAATATGTCAAATTCCCAAATTTCAATAAAAGATATTTAAAAAATGAAAAAAACGTTGCTTTCACGTTTAACTTTGTGGTCGAATTTCTCTAAAAATCGCCAGATTTAGACTAAGACCGGGGATAAATTCGTTATCTACGTTCATATCCGTAGATATGGATATTTTAACACCCTTCAGTACCCTGTACACCCTTCGGCTGCGCCTCATGGTGTACTTGGATACTTCAGGGTGTTAAAATATCCATATCTACGGATATGAACGTAGATAACTTATATTGTTTACTTCCTTGTAAAATATGCATGTACATTATATACATGTATACATACTTATTAAATAGTCAGTTTTCATCGATCTAAGGACTCCGTTACACATAAGGTATGTTTAATCTTAGACAGATTGATGTTTTATATACTGGTATATTTTTGACAATGATAATCGATTTTTTAATATAAAGCTTTACAATTATCGTGTTGCTACAGCTCTCACGAACAAGGTACCATGGTATTAATATCTTTCAGGACAGGGTGTCTTAAAGATACAAGATGACTTTCTGATTGTTAGTTAATTAAATATAGATATAAATGAGAGACATCCTAATTACTAAATTCGTATTTCGGAATTGACATTTTCTTTTAAATCTATGGAGGTTATATCTCCCATGCCATTCGATACGATGGTCCAGAGTTTGCATTTCCTATCCAGATTTCCTCGATAGAGGGTGCTGCTAACAATGAAGCTATTGAAGAAGATTTTGCATATTTGCCAATCATTGCTTTTTGTAAATTGTTTTGTTATGAATTAGGCCGTTAGTTTTCTCAATTGAATTGTTTCATATTTTTCATGTCGGGGCCTTTTATAGCCTACTATACGGTATGGGTTTTCTCATTGTTGAAGGTCATACGGTTGCCTTTGATTGCTTACATCCACTTCATTTGATCTATGGTGGATAGTTGTCTTATTGGCAATCATAACACGTGGATAGTTGTCTTATTGGCAATCATACCACGTGGATAGTTGTCTTATTGGCAATCATACCACGTGGATAGTTGTCTTATTGGCAATCATACCACGTGGATAGTTGTCTTATTGGCAATCATACCACGTGGATAGTTGTCTTATTGGCAATCATACCACGTGGATAGTTGTCTTATTGGCAATCATACCACATCTCCTTATTTGTATACTGTTGGTGATATTCAATAAGGGATTTTCCGGTTTGAATTTTCCTTCAAGTTCGGTAGTTTTGTTGTTCTACTTTTTTATGTATTAGTTTGACTGGATTTAAATGACCACCCATTGGTGACCTCTGCATTGTGGTGATGTTAATACCCTCACAGTTGTGCACTGGTCCAGAAGATAACTTCTACAAAATAGGATAATTTTTCTCCCTTTTTCCCGAATTAAAGTACTAATATATTACTTGTTTTATTATTTCTAATCAATACATATTCTTAAAGCTACTAATTTGACAAAAAATTCAAATATGATTTGTTTTGTTTCGAACATTTATAAAATCGGAATTATGAAATAATATTTCGCTATAAGCAGTCAATTTTGGCTCAATTTTGTCAAAAACATCGATGATATGCTAAATCTTCTTAAACTCTGTATTTCTTCAAATATGTTAAAATATCAAAATATTTTTCGCAAAATAATTGGATTTAAAAGTCATATATGCACAGAATTTTCCTTCTAAATGGTTATTGAGATATTTTCCCCAATCTTTTAAAAGGAAAGTTGTAAGTTTTCTGTTGTCTATTGGTTTATTCCGGTCTAGGGATTAAGGATATTATTGATCAGTGAAATATGTCTCTGAGGAGGACATAAACCACGAGGGGTTCTTTGACTCTTGTAACTTCTAAAAGGCATCATGTAACAACGGAAATTAGTGTCCGATTTTTCTATTCTGTAATAGTATTTTGTTATTGCCTTCATGATGTCGAAATATGTTGGTAGTTTTCCAAACTCAGTCAACATTTCGAAGATTGTGCTTTTTGGAAAACCAAGAATAAATTGACAGAGTTTAGTCTAAAAGGAAGGTTTGATGATATGATCAAATACATGAATGCTCGTTTTGTTTACAGGATGCAAAGATAGCAATCTTTAGATGACTTAAAATAGGCCTTTAGAGCATTCTTATTTGTAACACCGTCCTGTTCCACTCTAAAGAAGACAAAAGGAGAAAAATGTGTACCCAAATGTTAATATGTATCAACTTTCACATCTTTTAAGATAAAATCATATTTGATAATCTATCTGCCTTGTTGAATAGTATAAGCTTTGTTTTGTTTGTATAAAGCCTTAAGAACCAGTCATTGCAGTAATTGTGGAATGTATATAACTTCATTTGCCAGCCGTTCCTTATTTGATTTGAGAAATAAATGAGTCTGCTTACTGAGAAATTTTTAAAATTAGTTTTTATTGGTCAAGTTTTATTTCAATCCCTTTGACGTTATTTTCATTTCTTGAATTACATGCCATAGTTTCTACTACGATCCTTAAGATCACGGCAGAACAGGGACACCTTTGACGAATCACCTATTCTAACTAAATGGTGAAGAAATCCATTCAGTATATAACGTCTTATTTTAGTTGATAAATAAGTTGCTGAATCCAACATGTTGGAGAGTTTGACCTAAAAGAACAAATACAATTCAAATAACTATTTAGGAAATTTCACTTCGACAGCGTTATCTATGATGTATTGTTTTTGCCTGAGATTTATGTAAATATATCGATTTTTATATGTCCTTTTTGGTCTGGGTTTATGACTAGATTAAGTATATTTTTATTGCAATTGCTTTTGCCTTTAAGCTATCGTAAGACTTTTATATTTATGACCAAGGTTCATGCCTAACCGGTCAAAGTAAAACTGAGATTCTTCTTCTGCTATATGTAAAATAAATATCCTCTTTTTTAATTTAATGTATTAGAATAGTTCAGTTAAAGACAATGGTAGATTAGTGAAGTTTCAAAACATTAATTTACCGATGTATTTTGCATTTTTATGTACGGATTGACTGTTTAATTTACGTTAGATCAGTGCCATTATTTCGTTCTTTAGATTTTTTCATCGACATATCGAATTATGTCATTTGTTGATTATATATTTTAAAGATACGAATGACAAATCTCTGATCTAAGTATATTTAGTTTAAACACATCTGTTTTGCAACAACATTTTATTAAACAATATTATAATCCTTGATCGGGCCTTCACACGCTTTGCTGTGAAATTGCATAACTGCATCACGAATACACTACTAGACTTGTTAAAATGCCAGTTGTGTGATAAAAAAAAATAAAAAACATGGCCTATTACATTTGAAGACTTGTCGTATGTTATTTCAAAGGAACAACTTTCTATGCAATGAACTCGAACTATTTTCTTTCACTATTGGCAATCGTAACTCGAGCGTTCATCAAAAGATTATAACTTTCGGCAAAATAAATGTTTTACTTCATTAAAACATGCTTATAAATCCTTGAGTTGACGTAGGAAAATTTACAAAGTGTAAACAATCTATGACGAGCAAGTTGGAAATGTATATGACGTGTTAATTGTTCTATATACTTAGGATTTCTACAACCGGAATAGATTATCGTAGCTGTATTTGGCAAAAGCTTTTGGCATTGTGGATCCTCAATGATCTCCAACTTCACATGTAAATTGCTTTTTAACTTTTTTGATTTGATTTGAGCGTCAATGATGATTCTTTAGTAGACGAAAATCGCGCGTTTGTCGTCTACAATTAATTCTGGTATCTATGATGAGCTTACTTATTTAGAGATTTTAGATAAATATTAAGTTTGTGCGAGTTCAAAGAAACGGAGATTTGAGGTTTATCCTAATGCGTAAGCATCCCATCTTATAATAAAAAAAAATGAAAACAGGTCACTGCCGGAGATCTTAGGCAGTTTTCTGTTCACAGTTTAAGAGTAAACAAATGCTGATCAACAGAGTATAATTGTATAGTTTAGTTTAAACATATTTTATTTGCTAAATTAGACACACGTAAATAATATTTATGAAGTCTTTTCCATAATACAATATGAATGTATGCAATAATAGTATGATGAGCATGCATGTAAAGCAAACAGTTTATAGAATATAATACGAGCAGGATCTGCTTACCCTTCCGGAGCACCTGAGATCACCCCAAGTTTTTGGTGGGGTTCGTGTTGCTTAGTCTTTAGTTTTCTATGTTGTGTCATCTGTACTATTATTTCTCTGTTTGTCTTTTTATTTTTGGCCATGGCGTTGTCAGTTTGTTTTCGATCTATGAGTTTGACTGTCCCTCTGGTATCTTTCGTCCCTCTTCTATAGGTAAAAAAGAAGAGAAAATAAAAATAGAAGGAAAGATTGAAAAGTCATTATTCGTATAATAGATATATAATACTATGAGACTCTCCATCAATTATATTTAACAATAATTTGAACGTTTTATGGTCTTCATTAAAATGTAAAATCAGGACAAATGAATGTACTGTTTTTACAGTAATATGGCAACACAAGAAATGGAATCACAGTATGAGAGTATCAACAGGACGCAAGAGAATGAACATCCCTATGACACATGTAAGGTCGGTAACAAAGAAACAGGTGACGATGCAATGGAAATGAAAACAAAAACGGATGGGTCAATAAAAATCAAAAGTGTAGACCAATCATGGAAGCTGTGGATTAAAATAATTCTTGTTGTGGCGATAGTGTCATTGGTGTTCTTTTGTATTTCTATAACAGTTACTGTACTGATGAAAACAAAGAACGGTAAGCTTTTCAAATAAGTTGAATGTAGGACTGCATTAATACTAATGTATCATGTATATTATATCAAAACACACAACATTTACCAGGTTTATAATCTCTAACGTAAGACGCGCGATTCGTCTTCATAAGACTCACCAGTGGCGCTCGAATCAAAACAGTTTAAGGATCATATCAAATACGCAGTTGAAGATATTAGAAGCGCTTTAAGTCAAAATGATTGTATTGAGGAGCTCCTAAAATATTTCAGTACCTTAGTAATTCGAATTCAGAATATCTATAAAGCATGGAGGACCTCCTGAAATATTTAAGGACCTCCATAATTGGATTTATGAATATCCTGCAATCGAATTGTGGAGGTCCTGCAATTTTAGACATTCATGAATATTAAAAGATATCCTGACATTAAATTGTGGAGGTGCTGAGGTATATTATAATTATGGACCTTCTTTAATATAAAGGATATCCTGAAATATTAAAGTACCTCCTTAAATGAAGCAATTTTGACCGATTAATTGAGGAATTCCTGAAATATTTTATTTATATATTATATACCAGGATTGAAATTTTGTATTTGCGCCAGACGCGCGTTTCGTCTACAAAAGACTCATCAGTGACGCTCGAATCAAAAATGTTAAAAGGCCAAATAAAGTACGAAGTTGAAGAGCATTGAGGACCAAAAATTCCTAAAAATTTTGCCAAATACAGCTAAGGTAATCTATTCCTGAGGTAGAGAAGCCTTAGTATTTCAAAAATTCAAAGTTTTGTAAACAGTTCATTTATAATTATGACCATATCAATGATAATTCAAGTCAACACAGAAGTGCTGACTACTGGGCTAGTGATACCCTCGGGGAATAAAACCTCCACCAGCAGTAGCATCGACCCAGTGGTTGTAAATAAACTCATCATTGATACCAGGATTGAAATTTTGTATTTACTCCAGACGTTCGTTTCGTCTACAAAAGACTCATCAGTGTCACATGCTATGCATGTATGCGAATTAACACTCAGTCAAACTATCATAATCGGGAATACACTCAGTCAAACTATCATAATCGGGAATACACTCAGTCAAACAATCATAATCGGGAATACACTCAGTCAAACTATCATAATCGGGAATACACTCAGTCAAACTATCATAATCGGGAATAGAACACGATCGGAAAATTAACAGACCAAACGACTACACTGCATTTTAAAGATCTAAGACAGCTAAAACATGTTAGTAGTGAGTTGAGACACCGACAACTCGGTCAACCAATTCGTGCTGGTAACCGTAAAAAGTATGCAACCTTAACTTCATTCTTTCAAATATACAAAAATTGGTTCGGAAGTTTGAATACAAATGTTCATAACCAAATAAGAACAAACTGTTAAATTCAATTGAAAAGGGGTTTATCTATTCATCGAATCGGCACTAAACACAAAAACGAATATTCAAAATGCTAACTACACAAAGTACCAGCCTAAGAGTACCCACAGGTACTAAACCTGTAAAAGATCATTCAAAGCCTAATTTAAGACCCGATTGAAGATAGTCATGTAGTAATTTTTTTTATTCGTGCCTTACCTTTAACTAAATAAGGGAAATGAGAAAAAGTGACAAATGTCCATTTATAAAGTCATATTCAAACCTACGTTTTAGGTACTAGGTAACGATATTGGCTGCTTGTAACTCCTTGTTTCTTTAAAATGGTAACAGAAACCTTTCATAACTTTTAAAAAATGTCAACTTGATTTGCATCTATTGATAACTTATTTTTTCAGTTGTGTTGACGTCATGTGTACTACACAATAAAACTTACTCAAGCTATGAAACAATAGTATTTCCATTGACGATAACTTCAGACGGAATTAGCAACATAGAAACCTTCGAAACTACAGGACAGTTTACATGTGAGACTCCCGGATTTTACATGCTATCGGTGTTCATCACGTCAAGCACAGCAGATGTTAGGTACAAACTGATGAGGAATTATGAGGTTATATCGAGAGTTTATATGATTGTAAACACAAAAGACCTGCATGACTTCCGCACAGGTTCAGCTACCGTGACAGTTAAACTGGCAGTTGATGACACTTTGTATGTAAAATCATCCAATTTAAATGTGCGTCCAAGCTCTGATTCTTGTCTGACAATCGTCAAAGTTGGATGATATCGTACGTCAATACAATACAAACAAAAGTTTAACTTTTTCAAAAAGATATGACTTCGGAGAAAGCCTGTACCCTGTCAGGAGTATGATTGTTGTTTTCCATTCGTTCCGTTCCTTGATATAGTCGAGCGTTTGATTTTGTCCGTTTTTATGGACTCCCCCTTTTTGAATTTACCTTAGAGCTCGGTATTTTCGTATAAAAGTTGTTTTCGCTATATAATAAATTCAAGTCAGCTTGTATTTTTTTTGGGGTGATTTTCAGAAGAAAAAAAAAGATATTTGTTTGATTCAGAAGTGTTTTTTATTTTAATGTTTTGATACTTTTATTGTGGTTTCAGTTTCATTATCAGTAATTTGATGTAAAAAACTACCTTCCCGTTATTACTGACTGAATATTTTTACTCTATTGAGTTGATTACCGTCTGACAGGTATCTTTCTGGTTGATACGCACGACTTCAACGTCACCTGAAGTACACAGCGAGAGTATCTAATAAATTGATGCTTTATTTTTTATCATGTTCCGAGGTTTAAATGTACAATGTTGACTTTATATACCTGTGTGTTAGTTATTTTCTTATACTGTTATATAAAGTGCCGTTTTAGGCTCATACTTTCTAAATTGTATTACCTGCTATCGTAACAAATAAAAATATAACAATTGCAACCGATCGAAATAACACACAAGGGAACAGAGCTATATCAATATCCTATTATATGTAATGACTTATGATGATATTAAAACCATACACAGTTATGCATAGGAAATAATGTGAATAAAACAAATCGTTTTATACAGATGAAAGCAAAGGAAATGCGTTATAATAAATGCATTAATTTTTACTATCAGCGCTTATCCAACATTATATGATCCAAAAGCAACAAATTCATCGTTCGGATCTCGAATACCCATACTGTGAGACCATCCGTATATAATTACTTCTCCCCTTCTTAATGTTTTCTAAATTTCGTAAATCATTCAAGCCCATAGAATATTAGCTACACCAATAAACAACCTATCAGAACGATTTTTGATTAGTTATGAGTCAAAGATGGCGTGTATATCGACTAAAACTAAGCAAAGCAAATATACGGGGACGATAATTTGATGATCAAGTGGGTGGCAGGATGATTTGAAAATGAGCGAGCTGAAATTGTAACTATCAAAAGCTAATAATCTTAATTAATGCAGCTTAAAACAATATCTTCATCCAAAAATCGTTGGAAAATGAAAATTGAAAATAAATAAATATGCATAATTTTCTAAAAAAATAATTAATTGTTCCTCGGAACAACCTATGCCCTGATACTTACAAAGGAGCATATTATCATCTTAATTTCCAGATCGAAAATTATTAACTAGCACTATAGCTAAGCAAACTACCATCTCAGGCAATGTGGATGTTTGACGATTTTGGCTATTCTTTTAATGCCCTTATGTTTTCTATGTTTTCGATTCTTTTATATTTTGACCTTTCACATTTTTATCTATAATGTATCTAATAGAGGTTAATCTATCAATATATACGTGCCATGTGCACATAAATAGGTAACATACATTCTTTTAAATTACACCCCAGTTCTATTGTTATACTTCATAGTTTCTATTTCTGAAACAAGTGTAAATTGAATAGATCTATTGTTACGAATAACAATGGATTTTGACAACAGGGTGTGACGAGCGGGGTTTCTGGAAACCCCTGCTTCTACATCCCGCAAACAAAGTCCATTGTTATTCGTAACAATAGAAATTGATTATTTTTTAAATAGCATGAACATAAGAAATAACTAATAGTGTTCACTACAAATTGTTTCAAGATATTTAAAAAAAAACACATTTTAGGAAATTCCAATAAGCATCTATATGGAATTCAAAAATAATCCTTTAAATACTCTTAATTTCTTAATTTTGCTTGAAGGTATTTTTTTTTATCCCAGCCATATGTCTCTATTCTAAAGCATTGATCTTTAAAAAAATGGGGATTCAAACTCCCGTACCCCCCCCCCCCCCCTCCCCCGGTTACCCAGTGGCCGATCCGGGGTTGGGGGTTCCGCGGGTTGAACCCGACTTTTATTTAAAAGATCAATGCATTTGAATGGTTGGACCCCCTTTTTCTCTTGAGTTGGGAACCCCCGGCTTGATCAGCCCCTGATTGCCCCCCCCCCCAAAGGGAGTTCCTCAATATTAAATATTGTATGTTGAACGTGTCTGGTAGTCGGGTTTCTAATGCAGACACACATATCCCTTAGTATGTTTGAATATGAATGTTTGTTTATTCTAGAGAAGAGGGGGTGCGGGGTTGTTTTTGATAAAATCGTAAGATATAAAATACAGTTATGATTACCTTTATTAAACTGATACAGGTAAGTTCTTTGGGTTATAATATTGCCTTTATCTTTAGTCTCTTCTACCAAATCCATCGCTTGCCACAAAATGTCGTCCGTCTTATACCCGTCCATATTGACAACTGTATACCAGGAGCATGATGTATTTTTTGTTTGTAATAAGAATACACGTAACACTCAACCTTGACCTGCTGATCCATATTAGCACATGGATTTAACGGGAATATACAAAACAACTTTACATTTGTAAAATATACTCACTTGTCAAAGTTTGAACGAAGATAACCAAAGAAAGGTTACTAGTGGGGTTTCATGTAAAAAATAAATATTCTAATAAATCATGGTTTGATATTGTCAATAAATATGCTATCGTTTTTTTTTTTTCGTTTAATAATCAATGTTAACAAATATAGGGTTTAGAATGGGGTGTAAGTTAGTTATACACCTCGGGATACGGCGTGTCTGGATAAGAAACCCCTCCGGCCTCCGGTCGACGGGGTTTCTTATCCAGACACACCTATCCCTCGGTGTATAACTATTACTGAAATCTCTTTCGACATTATATCCATCTACTATTATTCTATCAGCGGTAAACATCAGGCACTAGAGTAACCCTAAAGTTATGAATTTTATTTCATTTGGTGAGGAGAGGGGTTTGATGTTTAATCGGTTTCCGCATATCCTTATGATCCACAAGTACTCCACTTCTCATGTCACCAACAATACCAATACAATAGCTGTTCGGGATATATAGATAAGCAGCAAAGTCCGATGACATCCGTAGGGTAAGTGGGACGCTCTGTGTTCATGTTAAAGGAACTGTCCTACAACTCTTTGAGAGATCTGTAGATGGTCTGTTTCTGGGCAGAATTTTCCAAGTTTACCGTTCAATCCACTTAGAGAAGCTACCGATAATTTGTTTTATTGTTAATTTGTTCCTAGTATACTTTAAATATATTGGCCACTTGCATGTTCACAGCAATAAATCAACCAATCAATCAATCTTTAAAGTGTCAGTATTTCCGGCAAAAAATAATCTTAAGTTAATTTTATGTCACCGTAGTATTTATGTGTATAATTAAATGTTGATTTGTCATTCATCAGTTCATTTATTTCATTCATTCCATTTTCTGTTTCATCATACTCATTATGACGTTTGACTGAGACTGACGACATTTCTAATACACGTCACTGCACAATTTCATATACACGTCACTACACACCTGAACGGTTTAAATAGAATAAAATATAGTTGCACGCACGCGGGAAAATAAATGTACGCCTTATATATATAGATATTTAGTATTTCATTAACTGAATAACTGCCTTTCTGTGTGGATGCTTAAATGCTAAAGCAATATTTGCAGGTTAGTTAATTTTGTTATTTGAAAAGTTTTATTTACAGTTTCTCGATAGAATTTCATTCATTAAAAGTTATATGGAAATATTATGATAGTTTTATCATAAAAATCTACAATAAGATACTATACGGCTTTTCCGTACTTTTTACATAGTTTTATAGTAAGTTCAAAATTACTGAATTGCAGCTATAAATTGTCTTATTTGCAGTATTAATTCATGGCGTAATTTTGAAGTGTTTTGTTGAATTCATTTGTCCGTCAGTTCTTGTCTCTATTTAGTTTGTGGTTTTATATTTAGGTAATGAATGAATGTAATTGTTTTCCGAATTTGTTGAAAGATTTGTATATGTTGAAATAAATATGTATTTGCAGTTAATAAACGTGGTATCAAAGTCACTGTCTGATATTAGCCATCACGATAATTTGGTGTATGTCCGGTTCACTGTGACAAATGGAGCCTTCAGAGAGATAGGTTGTGTAGTCTGGCTGAAAAGCGACTTCATAATATCGTTCATCCTAAGATAGTATATTTTGTTGCCGGGATTCCAGATATATGTTCTTTGGTGCGTATCAAGAACGAAAAATATGAAGAATCATATCTTTATTTAGAGAAGGATCATGTTGCACTTATACAAGAAGCTATGTCAGATGTTGAGAAACGTATGAAAAATATAGGATGTAAAGTTGTTTTCGCAACTATAACAACAATGAGTTTCCAGAAATGGAACACTCAAAGGAAATTCATTGGTAAAACTGTCCGCCTGAAATATGAGTCTGATTACGAGAGAATGCAGGAACAATTAAATATAATTTTACACTCAGTGAATACATATATTGTACAGAAGAACTTAGAAAATGGTGTTGTAACCCCTTTCTTACACGCTTTTGTTCATAAGAGGTGTAAAAGTAAAATTCGTTATATTTATTTAATGTTAGTTGATGGAGTACATCCTACTCAGGCATTGAGATCCTCATGGGCACGTCAAATGGAAGCCACGATGGATAAAAATGAGCGTAATTTATAAATATTTTGTATAGGGTATTTGCCGATATACATTCTGCGATAATTCAGGGATGAATTTTTTTTTTGGTGGGGGAATATGTCACCGTCGTATTTATGTGTATAATTAAATGTTGATTTGTCATTCATCAGTTCATTTATTTCATTCATTCCATTTTCTGTTTCATCATACTCATTATGACGTTTGACTGAGACTGACGACATTTCTAATACACGTCACTGCACAATTTCATATACACGTCACTACACACCTGAACGATTTAAATAGAATAAAATATAGTTGCACGCACGCGGGAAAATAAATGTACGCCTTATATATATAGATATTTAGTATTTCATTAACTGAATAACTGCCTTTCTGTGTGGATGCTTAAATGCTAAAGCAATATTTGCAGGTTAGTTAATTTTGTTATTTGAAAAGTTTTATTTACAGTTTCTCGATAGAATTTCATTCATTAAAAGTTATATGGAAATATTATGATAGTTTTATCATAAAAATCTACAATAAGATACTATACGGCTTTTCCGTACTTTTTACATGGTTTTATAGTAAGTTCAAAATTACTGAATTGCAGCTATAAATTGTCTTATTTGCAGTATTAATTCATGGCGTAATTTTGAAGTGTTTTGTTGAATTCATTTGTCCGTCAGTTCTTGTCTCTATTTAGTTTGTGGTTTTATATTTAGGTTATGAATGAATGTAATTGTTTTCCGAATTTGTTGAAAGATTTGTATATGTTGAAATAAATATGTATTTGCAGTTAATAAACGTGGTATCAAAGTCACTGTCTGATATTAGCCATCACGATAATTTGGTGTATGTCCGGTTCACTGTGACATTTATATATACATCACATGGAGTTTGGACTTGTTCAAGGAATTATAATTAGCATTTATGAATTAAGTAAAGAGTTTCAACAAGTTATATTTTGTTGAGGGGAAAAATTGTCTTTTAAGTAAGTGGACGGTACCTTCAAATACAGCCTATAAATTACATTTCTTTAAGGATAGTTTTACCAAATTAGGTATCAATTGGCCGACGGTTTGAAATTGTTTTTTCTATTAATCAAATGTTCATTATGATCAATCGCCAGATTACGTGCGTGCGGACAATTAGCTCAAACTGACCAGAAAGGTGATCTAACATGTTTGATAAGAGTTAAAAGAATGTATCGTGAAAGACAGCAACAGAATGACAAAAATACACGAATTGTAATTCAGTTACAATCTTTATACCACCAAATAGAAAATATAACCGTTATTAAAAGATCAATCAGAAAAAAATTGTGTTAGAAATGCAGATCGCTATTCTTGTCACTGCTCTGAGTTTATTTGAAAATTTGTAAATGCAATGAAGTCATATTTCCTTCTTCACTCTCTCTCTCTCTCTCTCTCTCTCTCTCTCTCTCTCTCTCTCTCTCTCTCACCCGACACATACACATATTCACGACACCCTAACCCTGTCGAAACAGCCTTTTGGTTCTATACTTATTTACTTGAGTTATCTTCCTTAGAATGGTATACTGGTATCGCAATGATTATTGTTTCTTTAATTACCGTAATGCATAGTTTTTCATCAATGACCCATGTTTTATATCAAAGATTTTAAATACGAATTTAATACTTTATGATTGAACTTGTTATTATTTTAGTACAAAAGAAGGAATTTGAATTGTTATGTCTGTATACTATTTCTTATTGTTTATGCTTAGCTGTGTAGAAAGAAACGTTCAACGGGTTTAATGTTCTCTAAAGGTATTTGAAATTTAAGACGTTCAACAATCTTTTCGATTTAAATATTCCACACAAATTTGATTTTAATTGTTAAGTTATTCCATTTTTTCGGAATATAAAAGAGAACAGCTACCAACTCAACACTTTATTGAAATATGTTCTGTTTATAATGATCAAATGGCTTAAATAAAAAACATGGCTCGTTTGATTATGTACAATACATTATCGAAAGTGTTTATATGCTGGAGCATTGCAATTCTTTCTACCCAGCTCAACAATGAATATGTTTGTTCGGAACACATTTCCTCATCATTAAAAGTGAATCACTCAAGCTGCGAAGGTAGACCTAATGTCTCCCAATGGAATAAGGACAATTTTCCGAATCCGCAAACTGATACAAAATTGGACTACTGTGGACGGAACTGTAAATCCTCATGGATTTGTGATCCTGATCATATACTAAGTCAAGAGGAAGGTATGTGTGGTGACATTGTATATGATTTTGGCTATATTTTTCAGGTTCATTTCGACCACATAGCTCCTCAATGTATTTATACATCCCCGGCTTTCAAATGTTAGGTTTGTAGCGTTCCTGACGAAGGTTTATTCAGACAAGTATTTCGGATGCACCAAATTTGTAAACTGTTATTTTGATTTAATGTGTCTTCCCCACTGAAAATTGACCCAAAAGCCTTGATTTAAAACGACAAAAAGTTTGTAGGCCATAGTATTAAATCGTAGATTTAATTACTGTAACACATAATATTGGCTTACAAAATAAATGAGACCGAGACGATTACCGCAGTGACATGACAAAACAGGGTAAAAAATAATCAAAAGCTGAAATCAACAAAAGTCTGAGAAAACAGTCAACAGTCCAGACATACATGTATGATATTATAAGATTGCATTCAAACGACGAACTACAGATATTATTAGATTCTATTCAAACGACGGGCATAGGATATCATTAGATTCCATTCAAACGACGGGCACAGGATATCATTTGATTTCATATAAACGACGGACATAGGATATCATTTGATTTCATTCAAACGTAGGGAATAGGGATATCATTTGATTTCATATAAATGACGGACATAGGATATCATTTGATTTCATTCAAACGTGGGACCTACTGACTAGGATATCATTTTATTTCATCTAAATATATATTTATGTTCATTTACTCATATCACTATAATAAATAATTTAATTACTTACTGTAGTAGCAAGGACATTTTGAATCTACTTTAAAATTTATAATATATAGTTTGTTTTATTTTCTTGTTTAGTTAGTGGTCATCTTTTTGGTTGTTGCACAGTGCAGTTTTTCTTATTGAGTCTAATCGGTCGTACTTACACGTGCTTAATATATCCCATAAGGACATATGTGTGATAATACTTAAATTTTGTCATTTGTTACAAAAATTTTTTTTTTTTTGCCATTTTTCGACTGTTAAATTTCCATAAATATTCAGTATACTTTAAAGATATTACCAGTTTAAGCTTTTCAAATACTTCACAACTATTTTCAATCTAAAATCGTCTTTTTTTGTTATTCATTTTTGTACTCAGAGTACTTCTTCTTATATAAAAAAGGGTATAATGTTCTGTTGCAGCTGATAGCATAGATAATACCATAAATAAAACTGCACAGGACTTATTCCGTAACTGTTCCAGTTGTCCAAATGGCCAAGGTTTTTACAGTATATCCATAGGAGTAGTTAGACAGATAGGAAATGATAATATGTAAGTATTTTAAGTTAATTATTTTCTTACATGCAAAATAGGCAAAATATGCAAAATATATGCAAAAAATATGTAAATGAAAATAAGACAAATCGAAAGGTGAAAGGTGAAAACGTGTGTACGTATACATGCTGTTTAATGCTTTTTACAAATGACTGGATCTAGTTGGGAAATACGATAAAGGACTATGATGTGTATTTTGATTAACAAAACGTTTTTTTTTACTAAAGATTTAACCTGTGGCTTAAACATTATTTTATTAAGTTACTTTGGTAAAAGTTACGCTTCTTGTTTTTACTTATTTTCATACAGTGGCAACTATTCTTTATATATCATTTGATAATTTAGTTTATTGAAAAATGTTAAGTATATGGTAAAGAGAGAGTAACCAAACGCGCGAAATCTAGGAGTAACTTCAACATTCTGTCTTCAACTTAAGAACATGTCACGCTCTAAATTTACTCAATACTAGGCCTTACTGAATGTTACAATAATCATATACACGACATCGACTTATATGATGAATGTGGATGTACATAAAACATAAAATGTGTGACGTATACTTTAATTGATGTACATTCCCCTTATAGACTTTTTTCACGATAAACAAAGAACTTACTAATACCAAACAACTCGAAAAGACAGAATGAACGATTTATGTCATCGCATTTGACAAAGAGCGGTGTAGATGATGAAACTAAATGCACATTTTTCCACCTTGGAGGATTGTTTTATGTTCGACTTATGAGTTGGAATGTCCCTTTGGTATCTTTTGCCTCTCTCTGCCATAAAATGCAGATATAGAGGGACTTCCCAGTCAAACAAGGAGGATGACACGGGGTGCCCATTTCCAAAATCCGACTTATTTTGTATTTTTTTCCCACTTCCCACTTGTTTTCCACTTTTCCCCAGATCCCACTGTTTACCCCTATAAACCACACCCCTACTTTTTAAACCCTTTACCCAACACCCAAAAGTATGTCATACCCCTCTGAAATAAAAACCGACGGCATTTCACATGTTTTTTTTTCAAACTACTTACGTCATACAATACTGAATAAAGAAAATTCGACTATAACGAAGCGATAACGCGTAGATAATGAAGAACACAAATAACATAAAATATTTCTTAAATCTTCAGATATGAATCAGTTAGGTTACATTTTATTATTTATCAGGAACCTTTCCGATATAGATGAATTAGGCTCAGAGTTTTCAGACCATCTGAGGTTACAGAAATGGAAATTCAGCCCATGTGATAGTGACGTGGTTATTGTGTTATCACAGAAGGACAGGCTGGTGAGATAGTAGGATTATTTTTTAGGATTTTAGGAGTATAATGTATTTACCTCCAGAATCTTGATTTTATTAATTGCTTGATATAATTTCCAATAAATACAAATAGGCAATGCAGCTAAATTAATTTCGATTCTAACCCGAGACAGTTAACGCTACAATGTATCGAAAGGTTGGAACTTTATTTGGCTATTGTATTTATATCTCGCCACCTTCTTAAACATTCGTGGAGAAGAACACGTATACTAAGTAGATAAAAAAAATGATTTTCAAACAAACGTGAGGCCGCAATTAAAAATATCTTTGTTTCCCCTTACCCTACCCCCCACCATTTTGGAAGTGGGTAGGTAGGTAGGCTTTTTTTTTTTTTTTTTAGAGAAAATCTCTTGAATATATCTAACATACAGGAAAACACAGAAAAACAACAAATTGAACTTTATTGATACTAAAACAACATACTGTATAACGTATTATGCATGACTAGAAGACCTTACAATTTCAGACTAGAAAATGTTTGTAAATATCAATGTCTTTGTGACTTAGAGTAGACCACATATAAATTGAGACACGGTTCTATATCTTTCTTATAGTTTTATTAATTCAATTGAAAATATAAAACCCCAATGAGACTGCTACCTAGTAACATTCGATGCAAAAAATATGTACACTTGATTTTCATTTAAGGAAATACTAGACGCCACAAACCGTGATCCAAGCGAGTATGACTACGCCTATTAAGGCTTATTCTAGAAAACTATGAATTTATTTTTAACAATAAACTTTACCATGAAACCTTGGGCGTGCCTATGTGCGGATCAGCATTCGCTGAGTTAGCAGACCTTACAATGTTTGTTAATTCTTGAACACATTTTACAACGCTTTCAACACAGAGAAACAAAATGATAATGATAGTTGAAGTTCACCTACAAATTTTCCTGTAATGAAACAATATTCTTAGACACTGTCATAATTATACAAAGGAGAAAGATTCTTTAACGAAGGCATAGTATGATACAAGACATTAAAACCAATATCAAACCAACTGAAACATATCAATATCTGCACAGACACTGCTCACACCCAAAAAGTGTTTTCATTGAAAGGATTTATCAAGGGTGAAGTATTGAGGTATCTCAGAAACACAAGCAGCAAAACTGATCTTAAAAAAACAGTAAGAAGCTCAAACGAGGATATCAAATATCTGAAATCAACGATTTTTTTTTTATCAAACACAAAATACAGAAAGGGAAACCTTGCTAACACATCGCCCAGCGAAACGGGAGCAACCGCTTGTAATGTTAACAAAATTCAACCCATCTATACAGAAACTGAAAATATAATAATGAAACACTGGCATCTTATTTCACAAAACCCGGAATGTGTGACCATATTTAATCATCAGCCCATAATAGCTTATAAAAGACATAAGAACTTACAAGAACTTTTATCAAAGCATTAGCTGGTATAGTCATCTCGACTTTTCACAACACAATATGATGCTGAGCTCGAAAAAAAATCAACTACTATTTTATCCAAAGACAACTAGTGTATGGTCCAATATCACATACGAAATGAAACAAAATAGCATAAATAGCACGCCAATATACAACTTATTGAGTCAACCACTGATAAAGGCGAACTCAGGGATTTACCACAAACACGACAGAAACACCGGGCCTAACATTTTAAGCTCAAGGGTGAGCTCGGATGCGCAATCGTAACTACTCGGCCATTCTCGCTACGCATTTTGTTATTGGAGGCGTAGCTAGAATGGAATAGTAGTTAAGATTGCTTGGGTGCATTTATTTAAAACATTATTCCATTCCAATTTCAGTATCCTTGCATACGTTGTTTACCCTTTGCTGCAAACACACGGGCGACAATGATTTCGCGGAATGTTGAAAATACGGACCATTCAAGGAAACGAAATTAAAAAACGAACTTTTGAGCGAAACGAAAAAAAAAAACAACAACGTGATTTTCGAAAAAAATTATTTCAGTCGGCGGATTTTTAGAGGGTCGGTCGGGTAAGGGGAAACAAACTTAATTTTGATTTTGGCCTGAGTAAGAAATCAGAAGGCACCGTGAACGGAGCATTGAATTCTCGACATTATTTGTGTTTTTGACAAATCGGTTTTAGGCTTTCTCCGCTAACTGGCCGAGTCACATCGTATTAACACAGTCCTTTCTTCTGTCATTCATTTTTTTACGCTTTTCCGTACTACTGAAAATCAAACAGTTCTGTACACAAATTTCGTAATGCTGCAAATTGATTTTAATTTTAGTACATTAGAGTGCAATGGTGACTTACAGATCGAGATTGCTTTTCATTAGGGTTGAATGCCATTTCATGGAATGACGGTCTTTAGACTAAGAACATTTCTAAGAATACTTTATTTTTCTGTAATTTTTAGAATTATATGCAAGTCTAGAGTTTTTTTGGTAAAATGTGTATCATAATTTAAGACATAAGTTTACCTTTCGTTCAAGTTTACACACTTCTGGTAGAATAACGTCCCATGGACTTCTGAGAATTTGCTTGAAAAAAAGACTGGTCCGAGCTTTTTTGTAGTAACAAGAAAAGACTTAGACAAATACAATTCCATTTAAATAGCATTACATTTACTAATTACCGAATTTGTACTTCATTTTAACCACACTGGGAATGACACGTGTGGAGCTGAATCTACTTACCCATCAGAAGCATCTGAAATCAGCCCCGTATTATGTGGTGTTAATTTTGTCTAGTCATTAATAATCTATATATTTTTTTTTCTTTCTTTGGGGCATATATTTTCAATTTTTCTACGACTTATAATGTTTCAATGTCACTTCTGTTTTCTTTTTACAAACAATACACCCGTAATTATGTGTTAATTTGTCCAAAGTAGCATTTTAATAATTTATATCAAAATTAAAATAAAGTTTTTATGTTTGCCCCGGGAAGATGTACCTCATGTGCCTTAAGGACATAACTAAATCTTAAATTCAATTGCCGTGTCAACGAAGCTGTCTTAGGACTAGGACGTGTCTTAGGATGGTCTTAGGACACGTCTTAGTCCTAAGTCAGGTTAACGAAAGACTCCTAAGATAAGATATGTCCTAAATTTGGCCCTAATGTTAGTATATATTCCAAGGTGTCTTAGGATAGTCCTAAAATTACGATGTCCTAAATCGAAATAAAAACAACAAATATGGCCTTTAGTCAGTATTTGGAGAATTTATCTCTGTGTAGATACAATACCATGTCTTCTCCTTAATATTATTCGTCGCCACATTTGTTTGCTTGCTGAATAAAATTCCCCTATGCTTATTTACTTTGGCAAGCAGAATTTAATAATATTTTTTTTTTTTATTTCAACAGGATACCATATTTAGTCCAGAGACTAGTTTACAATAAGGTCCTGCATTATATACATGTATAACAACATAAAGTGTCTAATAATACTGCCCTTTTTTAAGCTTAAAAATTCTATCAACATTAGAAACATTTTTGCACCTGACCAAATGTACAATAATTGAAATGTGGAAAACATTTGAATTTCGGTTTCGGACTTCTTTTCTTACTAAGGCTGATTCAATACATAGCCTTATATAGCTTAAATTGCAGCACGGTGATAGCCTCTCACAAAGTTTTGTGACAATTTAGTTTAGTTGTTGCATATTTATAATTTTTAATAGTATAAATGATAATGTATCCAATTAGTATTACGTAAAAACATTATTTTGTGTTATTTTTTTCCCATAAAATATGTAACCTCTCACCCTTTACATATATACTGAAATACATAAAAATATATTTCATTTAATTCTCTACATATTTGTATTAATTGAATAAATGTGTTAGGATGGTCCTAGGACAATCATACTTAGAATGTAAAACAAAGACACCCTAAGACCAGTCTCAGACACGTCCTCAGACCATCCTAAATAATGTCATAAGATATATCTTAGGACATATCCTAGGATACTTTCATTGACATGGCCCCTGCCTTTCACCTTGAATAATACCTATGTTTTTGAGTCAGTAGTAATTATATAATTTCAAATAATGAATTCATTAGATATAATATTAAACGTTTCTTAGAAACTAAGAGGTGAACATAATTTTTTTTTTCATTTCTCATAAAAATAAGGAGATGTGGTATGATTGTCAATGAGACAACTATCCACCGAAGTTCAAATGAAGTGGATGTAATCAATTATAGGCAACCATACGGCCTTCAACAATGAGAAAACCCATACCGTATAGTCGGCTATAAAAGGCCTCGACATGAAAAATATGAAACAATTCAATTGAGAAAACTAACGGCCTAATTTATAACAAAACAATTTACAATTTATTTATTCTAACTTTTATCTAATCTAGATATGGCTTTCAATTGGAAGTATGGTAACACAAAATCTTTCAAGCTCTTTCTTGGACAGAATACGAAATGAAACCTCTAATATGTTGAAGTCTGGATTGTATGGTGAAGCCTTATTTCATGTTGTGAAGGAATTAGGGTATGCACTTAATATTTACTTTCTTTTCACGAGGTTTTGTAGAAAAAAAAATAACGTAATATGTTTTTTTTTTAATTTTTGTTTTAATGCAAGACAACTCTATAGTAAAAAAGCTACACAACCAATCACAAATATATCACAGCTTTCGAGTACGATTATTGTACTTGTGTTTCGAGCATTTTGTAATCCGAGTACTGCGTAATATCTTATGACTGAAAGGCTTGATGCGGATCTGAATATCTGTTTTCGAAAACTTTACATAGTGATTGTAAAAGCTTTGCTCATTAATAAGCTGGAAACAAGAAGACAGTAAGTGTATCGTAAAATTACATCAATTACTACACCACGGCACTGCACAACAGTACATTCAAATGTAGAGTTACATGACATCATTTACTTCATGGATGCACGTCATGACAATACGTCTTATAGTGAAATTACATCAATTATTACATATATAGTAGTACATGGGGTTTCTTGTATGGCGTATGAAAAGGAATTGAAATAAATCTCTTTATTTTCATTTTCCTCTAGGGAACTGTTCTCTAATGGTGGTCGAACTTTATCATATAAGTGGCATACACAAGAAGCACAAGGACTGCCATCCGAAGCTTTAATAGCAGGAATCGTTGTATTCATTGTCATATTTGTTTATGCAGCTTTCATGATACGTAAAGATTTAAAGAAAACCTACGAAAAAGAAAACCCATCTCATCGACAAAAGAAACGCAAAGTCTATCTCAAAAGTCGGAAAGAGAGAAACTTATCTCGTTTGGCAGTGGAAAGGGAAAGGTTGACTAAAATAGACACAGAAGAGACAACGGAGGTCAGCTCAGAGCAACGCCCTGCTGATAACCATAGTATTAATATGTCAGAAAGAGCGGAGTTCAGCATAGAGCAGCACTCTAATAACCCTTGTATTACCATTACAGTTACAAATGTCGATGGAAGTTGCAAGGATTTTGATGAGCATGCTTTATAGGTGAAACGAGAGAGAGAGAGAGAGAGAGAGAGAGAGAGAGAGAGAGTTTTAAATTATCAATCTGAACTTAAAAGTAGTAAAAAGACATCGTTGTCATAAATATATATATAAAAAAGAAACAATATAATGATAAGTCGCCAGCTTAAAGGTTAAGGAACCAAAAACAAATATTAGCTTAAAGATATTTACATGTAAATTCTGAATTCAAGATCAATCAAATAGTCTCTGTGTCCTCGTTTCCTTGTGAACTCTTTATTCTCTATGTACAATACCTCCGTTTGTACAAGACAGTGGCGGATTAAAAAAAAAATCATTTTATGGTTTAAATAGCCAAAAACAAAAGATCGCATCGCTACGCTCGGCGGTATTTTTGACAATATCGCCATTCCTCTTTCCCTGGATCCGCCTATGATAGATTAAATGTTCTTGTTTTATTGATATATCCCGGCTGTCTTTTTATTTGGCCGCTTACTAGTCTTTTTTCTGATTGCTTCAGCAGTGTTTAAAACTGAGTGTTGCTATTTCATTCAAATGGAATCCGAATTAACAGAAACTTATTTTACAGATATGATTTTTCAGTCATTAGATGCATAAAATAAGTACGAACGTTCATTGGAAAAGAATGAACATACTCTATTAGTTTATTCATCCATCATACAACTTCCCTATATGCAAAGCAACGAAAAAGCGCATTTGGTGCTGTTCTTCGTCTAAAAATGTGTTCTCCCCCCACAGGTTGACATATGAACCATACAAATGGATAAGAAACTTTAATGGCATATCTTCATTTTCAGAATGGAATCTTCCATTTCCCATAAATCAGAGGTCTTCGTTATATAAGTCAAGACATTGCTAACAATTAATTGGAATGTATATTATATACGGTAATTATTAATGTAGTGATGATATAATTTTAGTAAATTAGAGAATATTCAAACAACAGTATATTTTTATAAACATGTACATATGTCTCAAGTACAGTACAAAACAATGTACAATCATCATTAAAGGATTTATGCAAATCAATTCAAGTATCAAATAATAATATAAAATAACTAGTAAGTATTATTTCAATATCAAAGCAGCTGCTCGTTCCGCTATCATAATCGTAGCTGCATTTGGGTGATCTGTTATTTCGGGAAAAACTGAGGCATCCACTACTCTCAGGTTGAAGACTTCTTTCACCCTGTAACAAGAACGAATGTGCTGTATTGACATCTTTTGCAATGAATAACAAATAAATTCATAAGAAAGTTTAAGTTCTCTTATCATTAGTCCTTTATCGTGATGTGTACTTAACCATACATTATTTAATACCCAGGAAAAATCAAGAGAATAAATAAACTCATCATAAATACCAGGCTTATAATTTTGTACGCAAGAAGTGCATTTCGTCTACAAAAGATTCATCCGTGACACTCGAATAAAAGATGTTATAAAGGAAAAATAAAGTACGAAGTTGAACAAACGTTGTTTAAAAATTAAGGCATAAGTATTTAACCGACGTTCAAATGTAACGAATCGATTAAGAAGACACATAAAAGTAACAAACACAAACTGAGAGAATCACATGAAAGACAAAAGGAGCGAAACCCGGTGCGTCGACTAAGTAAGCGTGTCCTGTAATGCATGCACTACCCGCCAAACAAATCCGCATTCAAATGAAATTGTTAATTAAAAAAGTGTAGATGAAATTCAATTCTTAAAATCTAGGGGTATCAGAATCACTGTTTTATGATAGACGTTTTTATTTTATAAAGTACAAAAAGAACGAATGTGTCGACAGGGTACCTTATTTTGCTTTGCATTCCTTATTCAGCATCCAAATACAGTTCTTATATTAAAAGAGAGGCGAAAGATAGCAATGGGACATTCAAACTCATAAGTCGAATTAAACTGTCAACGCCATGGCAAAAAAAAAGAAAAAAGAAAAAGACCAAAACAGTACACAAAACACAAAATAGAAAAACTTAACTCTGAGCAACAAGAACACCGCTAAAAACCGGGGCTGATCTCAGGTGCTCCGAAAGGGTGAGCAGATCCTGCATGTGGCACCTGTTATGAGAACATCCCTGGTAATGAAGTTTCGTATAATGTAAAAAAACTATCAATAGAGATATGTAAACGCCATATGCTGGGGCAGAGAGTGTGTATCTACGATAAGTTGGTAAGGACGTTGACATTGAAGAATCTAAAATAGTAACGTTTGTAATTAAATCCTAAATTAAAGTCGTCCTAATACGAATTGCTTTCAAGAAAAAGATCCGGATATTAAGCAGGGACTTGGCAAATTTACCTGAGTGTATTGTCAACAACAGATCGAACGTCGTTGAGAGCACCCATTTTACAGGTGGAGACTGGATGATGTCCAGGGTCAGAGAAAGTTTGTATATAACATCTCCAGTACAGATCAGAATCGTACTTAAATTGTTTACATCCCTTAAAAGGTGGTTCCATCGTAGCTCCTATGGACTGCATTATTGGTGTTTCAATGATTGATTTTACTATTTTGATACCTGCAAATGTTAAAATAAGATGGTTTAAGGATTAAAGCATCGATTATGGTTGAATTTGAAAAAAGAGACGTAAAAAATTCATTAATAAATATGAAATAAACCATTTTTTAAACCACCTAACAAGAATGTATTGATTAATGTATGCTTCCTTTTAGGTGCGTGTATTCAGCACACAGAAGCAAAATAGAGGATTGTTCTATATATGCTCTGCTTAAATACTGCATGCCTTGAAATTCAGAATAGATATACATTAAAGTACTAGGTTACCTACTTTTGCTTGACAAATATATTCTTTGCAATATACACATATGGGTATTTACGAGATCATATCTTGGGGTCTTTGTCAAATTTACTACCAACTGCAACACCTTTTTGTTGGCGTCTTTGTAAGATGTATTTGTATGTTTGTATGAATTTTTTAGTCAGTTGTGTTTTGCGTCTGTGATGCATGTTTACTCAAGTACAGCTGCTGGATCCCAATTATGATCACATTAACTATTATATATGTTTAGTTTGCTCACCCATCTTGTCCATATAATAGAACTATTAACAACTGTCATACAAGTGGGAGGTTTAGCTAGCTTTAAAACCAGGTTTAACCCACCTTTGTCTTCGGAAAATTCTTCTTATAAGTCAGGAATATGACAATTGTTTTTCACTCGTTCTGTTGGCTGATAACGTTTGATTTTTTCAGTTTTTATAGACTTCCCCCGTTTTGAATTTACCGCAGAGTTTGGTATTTTTGCTATAATTATTTTCCTGTACTTGTCATGACGTTGCTGAATAAAACATGCTTTGAAAAACAGCCGACAATATCACAGTGCAAGATGTTTTTTTTTCCATTTGTATTAACATATGGAAACCCTAAAGGACCAATAATAAGTTTCACTTAAATAAATAAGTAATAAGTAACAATCACAACCAACTGACTAGATAAGACAACGCACAACTGCTGTAACACAGATTATATAGAAACAAAAATGATTTCAGTGGTCTCGCTTTGTACCGGCAAAACTGGTGCGTGTAACTAATTTTTTTTTCAGGGTTTTGAAACCTGTCACTTATCTTTCTCGATCATATGATACGAGGAATAAACAAATCATAAGTAAGAAAAAAATTCTACCTTCATTTAGTGTTTCAATATCTTCAAAATTTGACAGGTATTTAGGATCAATGAACGGCATTTCATTAGGATCCGTCGAATTCAACCAAAGATGACCTCGACTTTTCGGATGAAGGAGTTTGACGGTTAATGTTATGCCATCTTTCTTTCTACCAAAGGAATACCAGGATTTGATCAGCTGTAATAAATCAAGACATTATAATTATATTTACATTATCATCGTGTTATATGTATCAATAGGTAAAGTTGTGCATGTGAGCTTTGTAAAGTGAAAGAGCAAAACGTCAAATAAAGATTTTGTTAAAAATCTAAATTGTGAGTAAATTCTATAGATATAAAGTAATGTGTCTATTTCATTCATTAAAAAAAATCTTACGCTGAAGAAATTCTATGCTAATACCTGAATGTTTTGCTTTGATAAAAACGTTGTACTTGAAAAAAAAATTTACTCAGCTTAATGCTTGCATACTTTGAATATTCAATTGGAGTAATTAGCAGTGATTTTCGTCAAACCAAAACAAAATACTGTACAACATACAGTAATATTCCTATCATTCGACAGTGAGATTCCGTTTCGAAAAGCAATTACAGTATGACATATCAAGTACGCAAACTGTTTACATTTTGTTGGGAATCATATTGCGCGTATTTTGCCTGAACCATATCGGTAGTCTCATTGTAACAATTTCGCATAAATAACAGGTGTTTGTGAGTTTCATACCCGCTTATTTCAAGCAGAATATTTTTTTAATGATTAATTATTTTGCACGCAGCTTTTAGAAGTAGGAGAAACACTGATCGGGTAGAAGTAAGATTATTATATGTCATCAGACGACTTCATTATTAACTGTTTGATGAACTAGATACATGTTAAAATTGCCACAGGAAAGTAAAAAATCCATTCATTCATGATTTCCGCTTGCCTCTTTAACCCTTTTGTCCTGCTTTTGGACAATCATATGGACATTTATTCTACAAGCAGTTACCTTCTCATCTTTATTCATGATTCGTAGTAACTTGTGGTCATGGTCAGCTAAAGTAGATTTAAACGTTAACTGTATGTCTGGGTAGGGCAATTGTTTAGTTTTATTTGTATTTGCGAAAAGAAAAGCCTCGCTTCCACCAATAGATGCCATTAGACCTACATAATAGATAAAATAACAAGTTAGAATAACACAGGCAGCAGTGTTTACTGACGTTAAAAGAGGGTCTGGATGGGGGTCCTTCATTTCCGTATTCTTTAATTGTTAGGCCATTTTTCTCTATTATTTATATTTTGTGCCCATTATTCTCTAATCTTTATATTTTAGCACCTCATTATTCTCTATTCTTTATTTTTTTGTTCCATTGTTCTCTATTCTTTATATTTTTTGCCCATTATTTTCTATTCTGTAAACCCCATCCACACCCTCTTAAAAGTAGGACAGGGTAAGCGTCTCCAGATAAACCTGCTTCACCGCAATGCGAATCTTCATTCCATCATAATGTATAAACCATAGAGAAATAGGACTCAATTTGTAAATTTTCAAATCAGACGACTCTTCTGGTAACTAAAGATATAACCCGGAAAAATATGTCGCTGGTGAATTGAGACACGGACTCGTCGTACACGTCAACAAATTCTCATTTAGTAATTCGTAATTTAGTAAAGCCATCAAACAAATACATGAAGCACATGTGTGGAAAAATATATGCGGTATTATATTATATGCTTGGTGTATGCAAATAATCTGCGATGAATTTCATAAAAAATCTTACAAAAAAAAGAGGAACATTTCAGTATAACTTACGACCAAAAATTGTGTGAATATGGTTACTGTTTCTGTACTGAAGAGCTTCATGTAGCGTTGTGTCAAAGATTCTAATACTCTGCAACTTGTATTTTTAACCTTTACTATTTAGTCCATTTTTGGTAATATATTTTTGGCGTGGCTCGGTATTTATACATCCCGCCATTGTGTAATTGTGCTTTGATTATTCCTTGTATTTTTGTCTTTCATTTTTGATTGATTGATTGATTACTTGGTGTTTAACGCCACTTTCAGCAATATTGTGCTATTTTTTGGCGGTCGGTTTTTATTGGTGGAGGAAGCCGCAGTGCTCGGAGAGAACCACCGACCTTCGGTAGGAAAACTGACTATCTCAGTCAATAAAGAATGGAGTCAAACGTGCGGGATTCGAACTCACAACCTATGTTGACAGGCTAGTGATGTAGTAGTTCGACTACTTAGACAACTCGGCCAGCTGCCCCCCTTTTATTTTTGCTTATGTACTTTGTCTATAGAGTGTCTATATGCCTTTTTGTTTTTCTTTGTTGACATAGATGTTTGTTTTTATAGTGATTATGATTAAAACACGATGTTGACTGCTGTACCCCAATTTTTGACATTTTTACCAATCATGTCTGTTTGTTTTGCTCACACATCGTTTTCAATATAATGGAATTAGGTGCGACTGTCATACAACTGAGAGTTAAGCTAGCTATAAAACCAAGTTTAATCCACCATTTTTCTACATAAGGAAATGTCTGTACCAAGTCAGGAATATGACAGTTGTTATCCGTTCGTTTGATTTGTTTGAGCTTTTGACTTTGCCATTTCATAAGGGACTTTCCGTATTGAATTTTCCTTGGAGTTTGGTATGGTGTTATTTTACTTTTTAGTGTATTATAAATACATTATGTGAGTGTGACCCAATATCAATGATTATCTTTTTTGATGTAATTTTTTCAATAAAACTAAATTTGTTTCATTTTTCTGATTTCGGACATTCCCTATAGTACAGTAATAAAGGTAATTTTTGTTATATAAATCTACAACTTCACTAAGATGATGGCTATGGAGCACTTTTATTGACCCAGTTTTGTCTTTTGAATGCCTGCACTAAAAAGATATTCACCACAATGTCAACTCTTACCTTTCCTTTGATAGAAATACTGATCGATCATTAGTCTGTCAAGTTTCAAATTAGGTTTTATGGTAGAAACATTAACAAATATTCGGATGTCAACAGAGATATGATCTTGTAAATTTTCTCCAACAGGTAAATCAGCTATCACAGGAATCTGTAATATTTATTTTCTATTAACATAGTATTATCCTCAAAACGTAAAGAATTTTTGTGAGAATTTTGAACAAACTGTACATTCTTTCAATCGGTTTAACTGTGTTCTGGAGCTGGCATGTCAGTAACTGCTAGTAGTCCGTTGTTAATTTATGTATCATTGACGTTTTGCTTAGTTTCGTCTGTTACCTATTCTCACATCGGACTCGGACTTCTTTGAAACCGAGTTTTACTGTGTGATTGCTGTGTGTTTGTTTATTCTACATTGGCTAGAGGTAAGGGTAGGGTTGAGATCTCACAAAACATGTTTTACCCCGCCGCATTTTTGCGCTTGTCTAAAGTCAGGAGCCTCTGGCCTTTGTTAGTCTTGTATGTTTTTAATTTTAGTTCATTTATATGTTTCGGAGTTTAGTGTGACGTCCATTTTCATTGAACTAGTACACCTTTTTGTTTAGGGTCCAGCTGAAGCCCGCCTCCGGGTGCGGGATTTTCTCGCAGTGTTGAAGACCCATTGGTGCCCTTGTGCTGTTTTCTGCTCTTTGACACATTCCCCATTTCCATTCTCAATTTTAGTCACATTGAAGTACATATGACATAAGATCTAAGAGATATGTTCTTGTTATATAGTAAACTTAAGATTAATCTTTTGCAAAAACTTTTTAATAAAACCAAGCTTGTAATTTATTACGCTAGAAACGCTCGTCTACATAAGACTCATTAATGTCTCTCGAATCAAAACAGTTCAAAGGCCAAATCAAATACATTGAAGAGCATTAAAACCCGTAGTTTTAACAAATACAACAAAGTCAATCTACGAGCTGTTCAGTCTTCTAGAGCAGGTTGGCATCAAACTTTTTGTTTCTGTTCTTGCATTAAATGCAATTAGCCAGTCTTTTCTGCATAAAAATGTGTGAATGTCAGATAAAGGCATCAGTAGTATACCGCTGTTCGAAACTCATAAATCGATAGAGATAAAAACAAATCCGGGTTACAAACTAAAACTGAGGGAAACGCATCAAATATAAGAGGGGAACAACGACACAACAAAAACACAACATTAAAATGTAACACACACAGAAACGAACTATAATATAAGAATGGCCATTTTCCTGACTTGGTACAGGAAACATGTGCCAAGCGCCTGCAAACGGATATTTACTGTTCAGTTCATGTTACTATTAATGAGCCACATCCACTAATGATGGACTATCAGCCCTCAAGGGTAACATCTGCCAATTAACCGGAGCTTTTTTTGTTGTTGGTACTAACCAGATGAAAGCAATGTATACATTGCGTTTGTATAATTCCAGTCCCCAAATTGTATCCTTGAAAAACATTAGGGGTTATACGGCAAAGTTGATTTAAGAAGCGTTTGGTTTTCTCTTTTAAATGCTTACAAAAGTTTTTTTTCGATCATTTCATTTTTTGGCCATGTTATTGGTCTTTAGCGTGATGGGTGAACATTAATTCGTGAACTATAGTGTCGTATGCACGGAAATCGATATTAAATGTTTATTTTACTGCCATTTTGTTGGTACCACTGCACGTGGACTAGATATTAAATGTTTATTTTACTGCCATCTGGTTGGTACCACTGCACGTGAACTATCAATTTAAGTGAGAATCACTAGCTAGTGATTCTGAACTGCTTGGATTTATAGGATATTAAAAATAAATCCAGTTTTTCAATATAGCTGTACCTATATAATAATGCGGTCAGGAAAATTTGACGACCTCTTTTTACTGCCTTGAAACAGGTTATATGTACATTTTTTTCAAAAAATATTGGTCTATAATGTGTGTCCGAAATCGGAATTATATTTTCATTGTTAACAGTTTCATGGCATACATGTCTTCGTTCACAGAAAAACATGAACATATACATTTGATTTATCGTGTGTAGTGCATTTTTAAATTTAGTTACTTGCAAGTGGTAAAGTTGTTCTCTTGGTCCTATTCCAGACAAGAATAATATCTTTGGAGTACCATATGAGCCAGCAGATAGAATAACTTCATTTGATGCTAGAACTTGGAATGAAGCGTTGGAAAAAATGAATTCTATACCGACTGCCTTTCTACGGGCAATCAAAACCTGCAAATGAAAAAATATTCATAAAATCAAGTATGCATATAGTATACGTGTGTGGTGCTGTTGCACCACTGTCCCAGGTCAAGATGAGGGTTTGGCGCCAGCAAATATGTCTAACCCCGATACACTCTGTATGTGCCTGTCCTAAGTCAAAAGCCTATAAATCAGTGGTAATCTTTTACTGTATGTCATCTGTTGATTTCGATTATTGTTTTGTAAATAAATCAGGCCGTTTGGGTTGTTTTACATTTGTCATGCTAGGGCGTTTGTAGCCTGCTATGCGGTATGGGGTTTTCTCATTGTTGAAGGCCGTACGGTGGCCTAAATTTGCTGCTAACTTCTACGTCGTTTGGTATTTTGTGTAAAGTTGTCTCTTTGGCAATCATACCACATCTTCTTATCTTCTTTTATATATAAATGAAATACCCTGGACCTATGCTATCGAAACGATACAAATACACTTTTACCCGACAAACCATATGTGTAATAATAATTTGCATTATCCACTTGTAGCAACTATTGACTGACATGCAGCTTCAATAAAGGTCCTAATTAAAGACAACGTAATTAGAAACTTACTAACATTTGATTTATGCCATAAAAAAATCAAATTGCTGTTTAATCTTTTGGAGAAACTCTCTCCAGCACGCTACTACAAACGTCAGTAATGACAGTATAACAAACAAAACATTGAGAAAGCATGAGTTATGTAAGTTGGCTAACTTAAATTTACACTGAGACTTTTCCCTTTTAACGTAATAGTCGATATGCAAACATATCTACAGAGGCCAAAAAACGTGTATATAATTATTAATTGGGGAATTCGCAATTACAAACGAACAACTATATATATAGTGACATAATTTTTCACGTGTTATGGTGCTTTACCCTTTGTATATAAACAAAGGAAAACACATAGTCCTTAAACTGACTTACCCTTGACACCAATGCATTTGTGACAATATTTAAGTTCTGTCGTCCCCGTGCTTCCTTCAGATAAGCTTTAGCAGTGGTCAATCGTTCACCTCCTCGTATGTTCGTTTGAATCCGACATATTCCTATCAAGTTAAAATCGTTTTACTCTCAGTTGGATATTTACAAGTTTTAAACAAGAACATTCAAAAGTAACATTCAACTTTTTGTGCATTGATCATAGCGTTATGTTATGTTGATACTTTTGTAGTCAATTATTTTTATTTGTATAGTATATATCACATAAATGTTTGTTAATTAATATAAACAAAGGAGAAAACAGCTGTTTTGATGCATGCACCACTACTAAGTCTTGTTTAAATAAAAAAGCATCGTGTGCTTTAAATAATAGGCTTGGTATCTTTGGTGACCTTTTCTTTTAACAATAAAACAACTTATAAATTTCCCAAGAAAGCAAGATAACTTTTTTTGTTTTGATGCGTTTACTTTGGTGCCACATTTTCCACTAATACAATGTATTAAAGACGATTTAATATGATCTTGAATATGATGCCAAAACATGCATTATACATTATGCAAATGTGTAACGAAGTTACTTAATTTTGGATTCGAAAGGGTTGTATTAATGACAAGCTTTAGCACTTGGTAAGTGGTTGTTTCTTACGTTTTTCTTCTCCTTTATTCAGATGAAGGGGTTGATTTTTTTCGATCATTTGTTTAGTTATCATGGTTACATTTTGCACTATGTCAGCGAACGGAGCCCTTGTGTAATTTTAGAATGAGCACAAATTTGATTTTGTAGTGTGCCTTAAAGTGTATAATAATATTTGTGTTGATTTTGGATGAATACTTTTATTACAAATATTGGATTTACTCGAAATTATGTAACGACAATGTTTGATTAGAAGGGTTTTCCTCATTGTTGAAGGCCTATGGCTGACTATGATTGTTTCCATCTACTTCATTTGAACGTTGTTGGATAGTTGTCTCATTGGCAATCATACCACACCATCTTATCTTTATGTATAATGTTTTTATCAGTCAGAATACTTAGTATGATGTTGATCTACTGTTATTTTTCTTTTCGCCGTTTGTCTTAACGTGCACAGTTAAAAAAACCAATCACGTCGTTTTGATGCATGTCATAAAATTGTAGGACATGACCAGCAGGATATCTATGCATTTTTTCTTGAAAATATTCAAGTTTGGGTTCTGTGGTAATCAATTCATATTAAAACATATTTGTAGCACTTTTTGTGACAGAAACATTTCACTTAAAATTAAAACCTTGTTAGGACCTACTGACATTTTTAAGTTCAAGTTTGAGTTTTGTGTTAACTAATTCCTATTATCATTAGAGGATTGTTATAAAAAGATATGAACAGTTACCCTGATCTTCCTTTTCGTTACAATTGATGGTATCATATCCTAGACTTCTTGTTGCATTGAAATACACGTTTAACAATGAGGTAGGCTGTAACGTGGAAACTGTCATTGGTCCACAAGATCGGTGTAAATCTGTAAAATAATATTCAAGAAAAAGGGTGAAAGATAAAAATATGACGCCACCAAGGGGTAAAGCATAATGAATGATGGAGCATATAATAAAGTAGTCCAGAAAGAGCGATGCTACACGAGTTGTCTGTTATCGATAGTGCAGTTTTGGTCATCTTTACCTCCCATAAACTACTGAGTATATTTGAAGGGAAGAACCATTCAATGGTCAACTAGAGAGATGTTAATTATTGATAAATCCTCAATAATAATTATAATGGTGTAGGATGCATCGATGGAACAAGTGCACAATAATCTTTAATTGTATTTATTACATTTTATTAGAATTGTAATGCAGATATATTCAACATATCAAATGAATGTTATCGAAATGGTTTGTAGTTGGAAAGATCAGTCAATGGAAAATAAGAGAGTTTTCATCGTATATCATTAATTATGCTAAGCAAATAAGAGGGTTAACATAACACTGCCAAAAGTTAAATTTGTTGATGTCTTATATCACAATACTAAAAAACAAAACATTTCATCCAGAAATTGAAGAGTTTATAAAATAACCCTATCACAATGATCCCAATTTGTTTTTTCTTTGGATGTCAAATACGCTGTTCTTGAAATAAAGCATACTAAAATTAAAAAACAAAATCAAAACAAACATCAAATTTTGAATTTTGTTACTAGTAACTTGCCAAAAAATTCGAAGTAACTGCATGATCAAAATCTTTAATTTTGATATACTTATAATTTATTATTAAACCTGGCTGCTTACAAACTAAAGAAAAGTTCATAGAAAAAAGGAGTTATTTGTTTACTATTTAAGAGCTACAAAGGGCAATATTTTGATACTTATGGTTTATATAATTATCTTTGTATATTTCCATTAAAACTGATTTGTGTCAATTGCAAAATATAGGAGGAAAACCAACAGCAAGGGATCTTAATCCTATCTTATCATTATTATCTTTCAAGTTAAAGACGTTTTGAGACTTTGTCCGTTCATTGGTATGATAGTATCAATTTTGAAACATATATCTATACTTTGCATCAATTGAGATAATTTATTTTTACTTATTAACATACCTGATTTAGACAACTCTATCACTTTTGTATCTACAGATTTGCGGAAGTAAGGAGCGACATGTTTGAATCCCCATCCTTTAGCCCCTTTCTCCTCCCATTCATTATATATATCTGGACTTCCTCTCTGATAAATCATATCATTCATTGCAAACGTACCTCCTATTACTTTACCGCTAGGTAAGGCAGCTTGCTGGAAAAAAAGTACTGTAAATCTGAGAGGCAATTCCTAAAATATTCTATTGTATCAAGACAATACTGAAAAAATGACACGGAAATTCAACAACCAAATCATGATGGCGTCCATGAAACTGTTATTGAGATGACTCTTATTGAGATTACTCTTATTGTGGTGACTCTTTTGTCGGAAAATTTAGTTATCAAGCGAACGTCATGGTCAATTTTCAGTTGTAAAAGAGAGGCGGGGGATACCAAAGAGATCTTCAAATTCAAACAGAAATTACTATTGCCAAACATATCAACGAAAAGACAAGATACAGCCTATAAAACACTTCACAGACACCAGATTGAGCAACACGAACCCATCAAAAAGTAGCATTCGATGATGGTATTGTGGCTATAATTGGAACATTTCTGTGATCATCTGTGACACAGATATTACATAATAGTTAACCAAATTATGATGGCGTCCGTTAAACTTGCGAATGAATGAGTTGAGATTTACCATTAGGAACATTTAGTCAAATAGCTTCTTTATAAGCAGAAACCCTTCTAAGGAAATCATTAAAGAAAAAGTACGCCCTGGAATATAGTGTCACCTGGAAAATATGCGCCATACGTGGGCTCTGCTGTGATGTTACTAGTACATGTAAATGGGAAATTCACCATTGGAAAGATGATGGATTCCTTTGCAGTAAAGTTTTAATCTCGACCGAACATCACAGTTTCAATTCCTAGACGATTTTCAAGATACGAAGCAGCAGATTAAGAATTAATTAAGAATTCAACTGTGACGATCGAAGATATGAGATATTATTACATGTGCACTTCATCTTGGTGTGTTTACATATGACGATGTTTTCTCAATGAGGACATAACAACATCCTGAAAAACCATATGCTATATTAATGGGAGAAATACAAGTACATAATATAGTAAAAGGAGCAGCCTAAGGTCAGAATAGAACAAAACGCTGTAACTGGTCCATACTTTTTGTAGAATTTCTAACCAGCCGTTGTAGTTTGTATTTGAATTCCGAGGAAATAATACCTTATTCTTATAACCATACAATGCATTTTCTTGTGGATGTGTAAAATATTTCCAGTCTACAGAACTATTTCTGAGTTGTTTGGCTAGCCCCGGTGTAGTAATGAATGGTGTTTCTGGTCTGTCTGTGTCCTTGTCTCCAGCTTCTAATAATAACACTTGAACACGTGGGTCTTCTGATAACCTGGCCGCTAATACAGAACCGGCGGTACCAGCACCAACTACTCAATAAATTAATAAAAAATATAATTAAATGATTATGAAAATTAAAATGTATGTTTTTATAACGTAAGTGTGAAAGACCGTTTACACCTTTTAAGGACAAACGATAATATAATATAAAATCGATTTCCGTGATTAAAGCACCATGTCAGATCAATGTAAAAATATCTGGTGGATAATTGTCTCATTATCAATCATACATGATTTCCTTGTTTTATATTCTAGGGTCAAATATTGGTTTCTTGCTTTCATTTTGCACTGAATTGAATAACGAATTCAGATTTGCGATCGTGGCTAAATATCAGTGTTTTGGTGTATATATTAGATACACCTTGAGGGCTTTAGTCCAAATGGGTGTATATAATTTACTCCAAGATAATAGTCGTCAATGCACATTGATAATTTTAAATAATTTAGGAAAGGGGGAGGGGGGATGGGGGTTGCTCTTTCAGGGATTTAACCAAATGTTATTGAAAAGCATGATATCCAATTTCATTTAACGACATCTTGGTGTAAGCCTTGATATTTATGAATAGAAGTTTTCTTCGGTCTCTGTAGTCATATAAAAGAGCAATATATAGTTAAACATTGCCGGTATGCAAAAAATTTAACTAAAACTATATGATAAGTCAACATCAGGAAGTGATCATAAATATCTATAGTTAATATAAATGTACTAATAAATGATAATTAGATCTGTTTGAATTATTACCTTTATATTAATGATAGGTTATGTTATACTGAAATAAATCAGGTGATTAATCACTGGGGTCAACAAGGGTTGCTAAATTTTGGTTTAATTGGGTTTTTTTTGTAATTTCATACATTATAAAAAATAAGGAAATGAGGTTTGATTGCCAATGAGATAACTATCCACCAAAGTTAAAAAAAAAGTGGATGTGAGCAGTTATAGGCAACCGTACGGCCTTCAACAATGAGAAAACCCATACCGTATAGTCGGTAAAATGAAAAATATGAAATGATTTAATTGAGAAAACTAACGTCCTAATTTATAATAAAACAATTTACGAAAATAAAATATGACAGACATGAACCAACGACAACCACTGAACTACAGGCTCCTGAATTGGGATAGGCACATAAAAGAATTGTTCTCATTTGAACCAACTACCACATCTCCTTATTTTTATATTCTTTGTGATTTATTGAAATATTGACCAGACACCTGTCTACTATTGAAGACGACTGCCTTTTCCTTCTAGATGTCTTTTAGTTTTTCGTGTAGTAGGGTTGCAGTTTCATTGGCATGTGTCCCACATATTTTGTACTTTACCTTAGGTTCAAACAAAATTTGTATTTACTTGCCTATAATGTAATCATACTGGGTCCTCATATACTCTGGGCAGTCTTGTACTAATGTTAAATTTGCCTATAATGTAATCATACTGGGTCCCTATATACTCTTGACAGTCTTGTGTTAATGTTAAACTTGCCTATAGTGTAATCATACTGAGTCCTTAGTTACTCTGGACAGTCTTGTACTAATGTTAAACTTGCCTGTAATGTAATCATACTGGGTCCTTACATACTCTGGAAAGTCTTGTGCTAATGTTAAATTTGCCTACAATGTAATCATACTGGGTCCTTATATACTCTGGAAAGTCTTGTGTTAATGTTAAACTTGCCTATAATGTAATCATGCTGGGTCCTTATATACTTTGGACAGTATTGTGCTAATTTTTAACTTGCCTATAATGTAATCATACTGGGTCCTTATATACTCTGGACAGTCTTGTGTTGATGTTAAAATTGCCTATAATGTAATCATACTGAGTCCTACTATACTCTGGACAGTCTTGTGTTAATGTTAAACTTGCCTATAATGTAATCATACTGGGACCTTATATACTCTTGATAGTCTTGTGTTCATGTCAAACTTGCCTAAAATGTAATCATACTGGGTCCTTATATACTCTGGACAGTCTTGTGTTAATGTTAACTTGCCTATAATGTAATCATAATGGGTCCTTCTTTACTCTGGAAAGTCTTGTGTTAATGTTAAACTGGCCTATAATGTAATCATACTGGGACCTTATATACTCTGGATAGTCTTGTGTTAATGTTAAACTTGCCTATAATGTAATCATACTGGGACCTTATATACTCTGGATAGTCTTGTGTTAATGTTAAACTTGCCTATAATGTAATCATACTGGGACCTTATATACTCTTGATAGTCTTGTGTTCATGTCAAACTTGCCTAAAATGTAATCATACTGGGACCTTATATACTCTGGAAAGTCTTGTGTTAATGTTAAGTTGCCTATATTGTAATCATAATGGGTCCTTCTTTACTCTGGAAAGTCTTGTGTTATTGTTAAACTGGCCTATAATGTAATCATACTGGGACCTTATATACTCTGGATAGTCTTGTGTTAATGTTAAACTGGCCTATAATGTAATCATACTGGGTCCTTATATACTCTGGACAGTCTTGTGTTGATGTTAACCTTGCTTATAATGTAATCATACTGGGACCTTATATACTCTGGATAGTCTTGTGTTAATGTTAAACTGGCCTATAATGTAATCATACTGGGTCCTTATATACTCTGGACAGTCTTGTGTTGATGTTAACCTTGCCTATAATGTAATCATACTGGGTCCTTATTCTTGTGTTGATGTTAAACTTACCTATAATGTAATCATACTTGGTCCCTATATACTCTTTACAGTCTTGTGTTGATGTTAAACTTGCCTATAATGTAATCATACTGGGTCCTTATATACTCTGGACAGTCTTGTGTTAATGTTAAACTTGCTAATGTTTGTCATACTGGGTCCTTATATTATACCCTGGGCAGTCTTGTGCTAATGTTAAACTTGCCTACAATGTAATCATACTGGGTCCTTATATACTCTGGATAGTCTTGTGTTAATGTTAAACTTGGCTATAATGTAATCATACTGGGTCCTTACATACTCTGGACAGTCTTGTGTTAATGTTTAACTTGCCTATAATGTAATCATACTGGGTCCTTATATACTCTGGAAAGTCTTGTGTTAATGTTAAACTTGCCTATAATGTAATCATACTGGATCCTTACATACTCTGGATAGTCAAGTGTTAATGTTAACTTGCCTAAAATGTAATCATACTGGGTCCTTATATACTCTGAACAGTCTTGTTCTAATTTTTAACTTGCCTATAATGTAATCATACTGGGTCCTTATATACTCTGGACAGTCTTGTGCTACTGTATTCAGTATGGTTATCAATAATAAACTCCACAGCCAAATGATACACATCTCTGCTGATGAAGAACCTACAATTCAGCATAGTTTTTTTCAAATAGTTATCTCAAAATTCTAAAACATTTAGCTTTCATCTCCACTGCTTTAATTATAAACAAAATAACAACGGACCAAGTGCAATATGGGAAAAAGATATTATTTTATTTATTGATATATATTCAATTACGTGCGAAATTCAAATGATAAAATCAGACCACAGGAACTTTTTATTTTTAGGTAACAGCGGTATACAAAATGAAAGAAATAAAAAATATGAAGTTTTTAGGCAAGTGAAAAACATGCACTGAAGATACTGAACAGGTTCATATGCCATATGTTCATGATGTTTAATGTTATATTTTACGTAAATTGAAATATTCTTGAAATGAAACTTTAAAAACTTCCATATTTTTTAGATAAATAGTTCAATTTAAATTTATAATTAACAATTGACCATACATTAAAATGGATACACATTATCATTATAAATATCGTAAAAAATAGTGAGTTAAAATTCTTACTTTGATAATACCAAACTTCCGTTCACATAATCCAACAAAATAATTATCATAAAAACATGTAAAAACAATTATCTTTATCTAACAAGACAAGTGAATTTGTACATTAAATTAATTGTTTTACAAGGTAAACGGCTTCTTAAGGTAGAAAATGTAAAATTGTCTCACCTGTTGTGTTTTTGTAATCTTTCCTAAAATATTCAGTTAAGAAGAATAATGTTTAATTATACTGTTATTATATCAAGGTTTATAAACAGACACGTAATTGATGTGTGACATTAAAATAATTCAAATCTGGCATTTATAGCAATTTTTTTTCTCTTTTTTTAATTTAAAAATCAGAAAAAAAATAAATGTGTTGTGTTATAAAAAAGACAAGTCATTGTATTGTATCATGTTTTCTTCGCGATAAAGGAATTATACAAATTCTACCACAAAGTAACAAATAAGTTTATTATAGTTAAAACTGTATAAGACTGTGAGAAAACATATTTTATAAATATTGACTAATGTGCAAAGTTTTCAAGTAGTTTGTCATTATATGAAAACAAGGAAAGCATTATGACAGTTAAGGTTATATGACGATGATCGTGTTAAGTTTTAACCAGGGTTTTGGGCCTCAAGTGTATATTTAATTTATAAAAGACCACACATACCACTATCACCCAAATCCTCTGAAAAAGTTACAGATAAAAAAAAATAACCACAACGAGCAACACAAGATCGAGCTACTGCAACAAGTGTGTTACGATATTTCTCCACTCGAGACAGTTAAATTTTAATATCTAAAGCGCGAGGCTTGCCGAGGTTTTTCAAATAATTAAATTTTAACTGTTAAAAGTGGAGAAATATCGCAATGCACTAGTTATAGTGGTGGAATTTCTTCCCTAATGATGTTATCCTTCCTTTTCAAAGATTTGCAGAAAGTTGTGTTCTTTATATGTGACATAGCCAGAAATTAGTAGTACTTTTGCTAATTAATATTCATAATATGTAGATGAGAATTGTACCACGTGATAATAGTTTGAACTGGACTGGCTTGATATCATTAAAATCTTTAAAACACGGATATTATAAGTTGCCCGTCACAGAGTCCTTGTTTATTATCACTCTGATATTTCCGTAAAGTTGTCAGGCGGTCAAAATCAAAACAATGAACGCGAATTTAGTGAATTTTTCGTGTTTTCGTGAGTTTATTCTTCTTGAAATAGGGGCATTTTAAC